TATATATATATATATATATATATATATATATATATATATATATATATTATATGAATGATAAAAAATTAGTAATATGAAAAAATAACAATTAATATATTATATACTGAATTAGTTACTTAAATATACAGTAGACAATGGATCAAGTACAAAAGATATGTGTTATAATTCTGTAAATATATAAACTTTGAGCGACTGTAATCGCGTAAAAATATAACGATCGATGAAAAAGATATATGTATATATTTATAATACATAGATATATATTTTCTTTTTTTATTAGTTATAACATACAACCGGACCAGCCAGTTATATTAATATTTATTTTTAAATATTCATTGAAAACAAAAAAAAATTGTACAAGAACGAATATAAATCTGGATTTGTGAAAATTAATCTTTGGTATTGACTATTGAATTTTATCCGACAAATTAATAATACGAAGGAAAAAAAAATTAATTTGTCAGATGAAATAGAAAAAAATTGCAAGAAAAAATGATAGTGATAAAAATGAGCGAGATAAAATTTCAGTCTAATTATTTCTTCGTTGAAAGCTCTAAAAAAAAAAAACTTTTTTTGTCAATTATATAAAGCACAATTTCTATGGATGGTATACGAACTGTTATTAAAAAATTTTGCGATTTTTCATTTGAAACTTTATGACAATCGCTATTAATATATAGGATTGCTTTAAAATGTATATCTAATAGAGATGAAAAACAAATAAATTATTTTTTGCGCTTAACATTACCCGCATTTAAACGAAATGAAAATGTCGTAGTAGTCATATATAGAGTGGTTTTGTAACTATTCTCGCCGAGGTCTATATCCAGTGTACCTTTGTGTTGTGTGTGTTTGTGTGAGAGAGTGTCTTGGTGTATTTCAATATACATAATGAATGTGTGATAAAGCCCCGTAACGTGGTGTATCACAGAACAATTGTATTAATGTTTAACGAATAGTTAAATAACGATGTAATATTATTATATATATATATATATTAATTAATAATTATCTTATTGATAAATGTTAACGAGCCGTGATAGATGCATGAGATGGTGATATTGGCAATGCAATAAGCGCCTAAAATAGTGATGCATAACGACAGAGACGAGAGATTTGTATAATTACTTTTTCCAGTTATAATTATTACTATTATAATAGATAGCTGTAGAGACCAAGAGTGACCAAGTAGAGATATAATCGGTGATTGCAAATAAACTTGGTCCTGATGTTTATAGGGGGATCGGTAAAATTTGCCCTCAATTAGTCAGAGTGGATTTAAATAAACAATGGAAGTCAATAATGGGGATGACCGCGGTTGAGTCGCGTGGAATCAATGGATCATGCCGGCAATGACGTTATGACGCGCTCGTTTAGCCTCTTCCTCGTTGATCCGTTGTTCGATCAAGTACTGAGCAATCCCGATAGCATTTGGAAAACCCGTGATAGTAACGATGCGGTTCCTCGTACCGGGCGCGAACATACCCTTCTTAGATATTTGAATGTTGGCACCGCTTAGCTGTTGAATCTCAATGAGTGCGCGACCACCGGGTCCCAGTATTGCTCCCACTATAACCTCTGGAATTTCTATATCTACTTTCTTGGTCTCCTTGCTGTTGGTGTCTACCTGAGTAGGACTCTTACTTACGAGTGACAATTGGTTTGTGCCCAATCCGAATGAATTGTTGTTCAGATGAATGGCACCAGCAGCAGTGTTGTTCTGTCGAAATGGATCAAACGCCTCGTATCTCTCGAGCGTATTCCTTGGAGTTGGTGACGTCGATCCCAGTGTCGGTACCGTACCAATTGGACCAAACACTCCTCCATTGTTGTTTGACCCGTTAGCCGATGTTGTGCTGTCAATTGGATTTCCCAGGTAACTCACACTTGGCATACCGCCAATACCCATGCCCAGAATATTGTATTTGGCTAATGTTGCAATCGCCGTCAGAATTTCGGTTGCCGCTGCCTCGGAAAAACCCGTACTTCTCAAATTCAATTTAATATGCTCGAGAAGTTGAGTCGTTACAGGTGCTGTACCGGCCGTTATTGCAGCGCCTAGGTTCAAGTTTAAACTCAAACCAGCACCGTTCAACAGACTCACTGAAACACAAAAAAAAAAAAAAAACGATAAAAGTTAGTAAGAATAATTATCAATAAACTTTTGTTGACTTTTTTTTTTTTTTTTTTTTTTTTTTAAAAATTAAAGTCGGCGGTAAATTAGTTGAGGGATCTTACCGGTATTGAGGCCAGCTGGAGTTGGGTACGTGGGTGCGGTCCCGGGTGCTTGGGCGTAGGGGCTGCCTGTAGGATTGTAATTGGCTACCGGGCCGCTTACGTCAGCATAACTGACGTTTAGGCACGTGCCACTTTGTGGATCGTCGGCAATTTTAGCAAGTATCATAAGTAATGCACTACGATTGTTTTCCTTTTCACCTATTACTGTGATACAACGTTCTTGTAGAGATAAGTCTTTAGCTTTTTGACTTATCTGCACGTACGATCCAGAGTCTTCCTTTATTTGTTTTATATAATTTCCTGCTTTGCCAATAATCATTCCCGCCGTGCTATTTGGTACTAGTATCTTTACCTATAATTATACAAATAAAAAAATAAAAGATTAATTGATTATTATTAATAATAAAGTAGTTGACATTGATACAGAATTCAATCATAACATTCCCTTAATATGATATCATGCTGTGCAAAAAAATATTTACTACAGAAGGCAAGTATAGCAATTAAGTACCTGTTTGTCTCTCTCAGCAGTTGCTTTACCAGAGTCAAAGTCCACTGTTATCTTGGACGTCAAATCAGGTTTTTCACGAATTTTTTCCATTATAAAATCCATTACAGCCATTATGGAATCAACGCTTCCAGTTATCAGACACACACGTTCCGAGGTACCTGGGGTTACAATCAATATAAAAAAGTAATAAAATAAAATGCATGGCATACATATGTTATGTTACTTGTTGTATTGATCCAACTTTGTTTACTATTTTATTTTCAGTGTTCTCATTTTTACCTGGATAAAAATCCCGAGCTTTAGACATTTTAACCCTAGCATCTGTGTCTTTCTGCAGCTGGGCAATAGTCTCACCACCTTTCCCGATGATGGCCCCAGCAGCCACCCCTGGTACAAGTACTTTAAGATGGTACATTCCATCTCCTCCTGCTGCAACACATAAATAAAACGTAAATAAATAAGCAGTTTGTTGCATTATAAATTTATTCTTTACACTTTTATTACTTTTCCGTATTATTTACGGTGTGTAACGCAATAACAAAATTTATTATACATAAAGTGACAGCAAATATATTATCTTATCATAAAATTCACATTAATGACAAAGAAAAATCTAATTCAAATTAGAAAGTAATAATAGTAATAAGTAAACAGCTGTTTGACAAGTGTTCCAACTGGTTCACTTACGACCTTGACCCACGACCTAATACAGATATATATTTAATAACTTACCAGCGATATTTATTTTCATAGTGACACTGCTGTCAAAACTTAGCTATTAAATATTTTTAATTCTATTCCTATAAACTTTTGTTATAATAATCCAACTTAATGTTTATATTATTAAAACTCCATATTATCACCGAGTAGCATACAATATACAAAGTTTAAAATCAAGACAACACACTAAGAGGTTTAATATTAGATCAACTAACAATGATTTTAGATAAAGTTTAAGAAATTTGCAAAGTCACCAATTTAATGATACAGCAGCTGTTATTACTATTGCTGTTAGAGAAGACTTCCATTAAAACGTCGTTCATAGCCGCCCACGCGCAGACAAATGTCAAATTCGAAAATGCGCCGTGTCACCCGTGACGACTATTAAATCAAACGAGATTTATAAAACAATATAAGTGTATATATATTTATAAGTATAAGCGTTAAAATATATATCAAGACAGTGAAAAATAAAGCTGCTACTGCTGCTGCTGCTACTGCTGCTGCTGCTGCTGGTATTACATTGATATGACGTAGAGAGTTCTGTGATATATACACATGGGCACACTCGAACACGTATGAACATATATATATATATATCTGTACAAAATATAATCCACTAGGCCTTTCGAAATACTAGCAGGTCAATGGAATAACTTCCAAAAAGTGTCACACTCTCGAAAACACAGAAAACTTTATTGTCGAGCAATAAATAATACAACTTGAACATGCCATTGCAGGTGCTGGTGCTGGCGCTGCTTTTTGCCACCGAGGATACAACACTATTCAGTTGTCAATCGCATCAGAATTAAACATTGACGACTCCCTCGCGACGTAACACACAAGCGAGATAGCGATAGAGGGAGTAGTAACGTAACTAACGAAGAGGTACATACACATACACATACACATCCATACATATATATGTATATTTAACCCGAGCAATCTCTTATCTGACAAATATACAATGCACTTCGGTAACCACTGGTAAGGACAAAGTAATATATAAAATAAGAGTGATTAGTAAAATATTAAAAAAAAATAATTAAAAAAATTACCTGTTCCGTAGTGTGACCTCTTGGTGGCTCCGTTCTCTGCGTCGCAGTCAAGAGGCCTTTTCCTGGAGTCCGCAATTTCTGGGGAGGGACACGTCTCCATTCCCGAGTCAGCGGCCATCTTGAGTAGTTTGCGCGCACACAAAAAACAAGTGTGCGTGCGTACGTCGTTGGTATATTACTGTGTCAACTTGTCTATATATACAACAGCCAGGAGTCCGTGTAGTCCGAAGTGATTATGTGTGTAGTGTGATGTGTTATGTATAATATATGAATGTGTGTGTGTGAAAAAAACGGGACGGGACGTGATGAGACCGACTGCCAGGGACGAACTGCTTGCCACACCGATAAAATTCTTCTTGCTATGTCGTCCCCCAGACCAAACTTCTCTCTCGCTCTAACACTGTCTCTTTCTTTATCGCTCTTGCTTCTCTGGGCACTGGTGTGTGTGTGTGTGTGTGTGTGTCACTATGAACTAACGCGGGAGCACACTATTTAACTAGTGGGAGCGATTGTACTGCAGGCCCATCAGCAGTGGAAGAACCAGAGTTTGTAATTTATTATATTTTTTATATTATATGTTATTATTATTATTATTATTATTATATGTATTTAAATAGTTGATAATGATAAAATCTTCTATCCATTAAAGTTCAACCAAGATGACAACCAGGATCACTGAGTTCCAAGCCCAGGACTAAAGTTGAAGATGATACTGGTGGCTGAGACTGAGGATGATAATGATGACGATGACGATGGTGAAGAGATGGTGGTGATGATGAGTGATGATGACAGACGACGGCGACGATGAACGGAGCTTGTATCAGCAGTACGACACGATCCGCTCACGGGAATCCGCGTCACACTGGTAACTGCTGCTCGTTTGAGACTCCCTTGCCAACCAGCTGGCAGTGCTGGATACCCGATGGATTCCGCCAGTCGTGGTGTCTCGCTCCTAAGCTCCTTTTTCACTATCAGTACTCTCTACATTAAACTCTGACCAATCGACGTACCTCGATTGCCCCCCTCTCTTTTTCTTCTAGCACAGTGTAGTATAGAGCAGAGTGTAGAGGCGACTAAACCAACTGAACCTAATTTTATTTATCTTTCTCACTCGCTCTTTCCTTACTTTTCAGTGGCTCTGTCGCAGTTGCTTTTGCTCGTGCTCTCTCACCCCTCCGCTTTACTCGAAGCTCCTCACCGCGGCACTGCTCGTCACTTGTACACAATCACTACTGCCACCACGTTTGCCCAGGGCCGTACTCGTCCAAGTGCAACGAGGCCAACTAGGAACTTGCATCCAGTGCCCCGCTGCCCCAACTATACACAACCTTTTCGATTGGACGTCGTTGTCATGCAGTCACCAACAACATCAGCCAACACATACTTGCACACTGACGTCGACACATAGCGCAGGCGATTAGACACGATTAGAAATGCGATCGTTTCTTTATTACATATTGTATATGTACACAGAAATGTACATACATAGATAGATCCATAGATGTGGCGACAAGGTGACTTGACTTCAATACTCATATATAATAGCTATAATACCAAACAACACTCTTATTACTTATTACATCTTTAGTTTTCTCTGTGTATACAATCATTGTTCATTATCATTATGTATTTGTTATCAGTGGTCTAACTTTATGGCCCTTCTCTTACCAACATTTATTTACACATTTCAGTTACACGAGCTACAACAGCTACTGTTCAAGCCTCTCGGTCCTCGGTTCAAGCTCCAAGCCTCTCTGGTCTGCTGAGTTGCTGAGTAAATAGCTGGATTGACCCTCACCAACTAACTATGACATGCACATAACACTAGATAGAAGAGTTCAGCATGAGCTAGAGACAAAGAGCAATGTGCATGTTACAAGGGAAAAAAAAATAGAAAAAAAAAAAAAAAAAATATCTCAAGCACTCAGAGAACGTTGAATAACTAGGCGTGAAAGGTTATTGTCTATTTTTTTCTTCTCTTTCTTTCAGCTTGATAACTGGTACTAACATGACGAAAGATTATTACCGTGAAAGCTCATATCAAAGATTGTAAGCTTAGATGAATCTCGAGGTGAATGCCAGTAAAGCTGGAGTATTTGAATGGCAAAGAAACTTTTCAATTATCTATGAAATAATAAAACGACGATTCATACTGGTTGTGTGAGTTTTGAGTAAATTAGCAGCATTACGGATAGAACAAGGCAAATGCGTTCGGAGAAGTTGAAATATAAATGCATATTATGTGAATTACCCAGGCTCAAATGAATTCTATAAGTATCGATGCCGCGATGCTATGTTATAAAACATCGTCATAACTCCCCGGATTAGTCATATGTATGATTATTACATTATTATAATCAAATGATTATTCTTTTTGTTTTTATTCAATTATTTGTCTTTCATCTTATTCACCTTTATATAATATTTAATTTTTTATTTGCTTATTTTTTAGTTAAATCCTGTTGCTCTTCCACGTCGTTTAAATAGCAGTTAACTGCTCAACATCGTGTCGATTGTAGTCGACCTTTACTCGAGGAACGAAATATCAGCGTTATATAGAAGCGATTGCAAATCGCATTTCCTTATCGCTTGGTCATTAGGGCAAAACATTGAGCGTACGTGTGAATAAATGAAGCTTCGATTAAACAACAAAATTATCATTTAAATTGTCTGGAAATATGAAGATTATTAATTTCTCAATCAATCTGTTAATTGCTCGTATTTTGTAAATGTTTAGATTGATTTTGATTTTGATTTTTATACTGATATTTAGAGTATTAAGTAAGACAGATATTTATAAAATCAAGCGTTTGTAATTGTAATTATAATGGTTTATATTATTTGACATATTGCCTTTGTTTTAAGTTGTTCGCAAAATTGGGTCTTGACGTGAAGCATAAATGTACTGTTACCCCGTAACTAGACCTCTTCTGGATATATATACTCGCATATGAAAGTTGTAAAAAAATCAATCGTGCATCATAAATAAACGTATGGCGCAGAGAGTAACATAAGATAATTTTTTCAAAGATCCATCAATTGCTTAGGATGATGTTGACTAGCAAAACATTTATTGCAACAATACACGACCGTGACATGAATTAATTGTATTTTTATATAATACTCGTCATAGTATCATCAGTAATATAAGTACATATGATATGTATATACATATATACACTTATGCATAAAAATATACATACATATACTCATAGATAAATGGTGTGTAGGTAATAAAAATTAATCTTCACAATCGATTCATCGACGAGGTTGTAGATTGGAATCATCAGCGTGATTTTATTTGTTTTTCTTTACCTTAGCTTGTGTACATACAAATACTATACCTATCACATATATGTATTGTATTTTATATTTCATGTCTTGTATACAAATATATAGCACTTTCTTGTGCGCGCGCGCGCGCGATTACGTTCAATTACCAATGCCATGCGTTTATTACATAACTATCCAAGTGTTCCAGATTGACGTTTAGCTGTAGTTACAGCTCAGACCAACTCGATAACGCCATTAGACTTGTACGTCTAAGATTTATCAATCTTGTAAGCACTCTGACACCGAGTATATAATAATGTAATAAGTCTACCGAGCTTTATTAATTTTTTTCAATCACTAACGTTACTTTTGTAATCAATCGTCTCTTTTCTGAAAGTAGATTTATTTTCTTTCGTGCGTGTAATCTATGTTTACATCAATCATTTAAAAATAATAGAGGAGAAATATTTCTGGCCTACAAAGTAAAAGTATCTTAAAAGTTTCAACAAAAACTATCGTTTTCTAAGTATGATGTTTTGGAAACATAAAAAAATAAAATCTTTTAAATAAGTATTATAAATAAGTACAAATTTTAATGATTTAATATACTTTGAATAGAGAACTCTAGTTTCTAATTTTAAATAAAACAAACAAGCACTTACTTATAAAAATCTTACGGCTTGTTTGTTTTTTATTACTTCCATAATTTTTAAAAGTAAGAAAATTTAGAATTTAAATGATTACTTGTTGATTAATTGTTAAATAATTTATAATTGTTTTCAATCATAAATGCGTGTAAATTTTTATATACTTGTTCTTAAAAAATCTAACAATCGTAAATTCTATTATTAACTTTTAACACCTACGCTAAAACTCTTCCATCATAGGATGTTTTGTTAGAATCTTTTAAAAGTGACCAAATTTATTTAACAACTTTCATCTTCACCTACAATCATTTACAATTGGATTTACAATGCTTTCTCAATCTTTCAACACCGGGGAAAACATTTCTAAATCAAAAACGCTGAGAAAAGTAAAGTCATGCCGTATACCCTGAAAAGTATGAAAAGAAATAATAAAGTTTACTATCAACTGAAAAGCATTTTAAAATAAAAGAAACTTTTTCTTCACTACGAGTAAATATCATACCCTAGATACTCTTCTATTCACAAGTTGACTTTTCCGTCGAGTGTTTACCATGACACAAACTTAAACGTCTATAACTATCAGCTCTCTCATCAACTTTTACTTTTATACAATTAAGGACATTCTTAAACTTGTAGTAATATCCACTAAGATAATTGCTATGCCCTTAACTTAATTACTGCTAGCTGATATATCTTTTTTTTAACTTTTAAGCAATCATTGTCATTATAACTAAATTAGATAAGAGTTTTTTATCCAACGTGCTCATAAATTATAAGTTAGTTTTTATTTCATACGGGCACTTAACAACAATCATAGTGAAATCTGAAATAAAAAAAAATTAACTTATTAATATTAATAATAAACGTACATATATATATACACATAAGTATAGGAAAATTTTTTACTTACTTATTTACTATATCTACAGAAAAAAAAACACATTTTACAATAAATTATTAAACAAAAAAAAAAAAATGTTAAATCCTTCATTGTTTCAAATCAAGTATGTTTACTTTTATAGATATTCTATTTATATACAAAAAAGGCAAGTATTTGTGTGCGAAATATATTTGAGTTGTCATAAAGGGTAATAATGCCTTTTAAAAGTATTATCCTTGTCCTATAGCCGCTTGACTTGGACTTAATATTTTTTTAGTTTTACGTATTACGAGACCGTCGTCTACTGAGTTTATAAGTAATAAAATATAAGTTGGAGTAGAAAATACATACTCGCTATTACTATTAGACGTTTAAATGCTGCATCAAGGACACTTAATATTACAAGACTGTATACTTTGGTTATATTTTATTTTTTGTTGTTTATTTAATTGACTGATTATTGTAATGCTTTAACTAGTTGTTGGAGCTATCAATAATAAATTAATAAAAAATTTATGCGCTTGTATATATTTATCTATGACAATAGATAAAACTGCATAATTTTATACAACTATTACATCAAATTAGAAGCAATTATTCTTTATTACGCGTTAAACACAAAGAAAAACAACAGTTGATAACATAATTGGACAATAACACTATACTAGTGACCTCGCCTTCAAATCATTTAAATCTTCGCGCCAACTACACGAGTCAAAAGAAAATTAAAAATAAATTCTAAAGGCTTAATTATTAAAAAAATTAATTTTTATTAATTATTTAATTTTTTAATTATTTTTTGCTTTTAATTTTTTTAGGTTTAAAGAAGAAATGAGAAGAAAAAAATTGTTTTTATTGATTGGAGTCAACCTAACCTGTTGATCACGTGACACGTGCTTATCATAATAATTCCAGTGTCAACATAACCTCCATTGAATGTTTATTTGTAGATTAAAATTATATAAACTTATATAATAACGTACATATTAATTTAAAGACCCTGTTACTGCTCGAAACAAGAAAATTATAATGTATCAAATTACTGAGACATCAACCACTTACCATTACTTCCGAGCAATTCATGATGGATGACAGTACCGGACAAACGTATGTTAAAGTATTATTTTTTGCTAGTGCTCGTGAAATTGCTGGTGTTAAAGAATCTAAAATATTAATCTCTAGACATATTAATTCTACTGAATTGCTGGAAAGAATTGTTTCAATATTTGGATTGGAAAGTATACGCAGTAACGTTATTCTCGCAGTTAACGAAGAATTTATTTCAAATGATGTCAAGCTTGAACTCTGTGACAGAGATGAAGTCGCAATCATCCCACCGCTCAGTGGAGGTTCGTATTTTTTTATTTTTCGTAATTATGTTATGAAATTAAATAATATGTGATGTTTATTTAATTTATATATTTATTTTATTATAGGCTAATGTGAAGGAGCCAAAAAATATAATTAAACTCCAAAAAGATAAGCTAGAGGTTGATGAAATTGTCAAGAGTGTTATTTCACCATCATGTGGTGCAATATCGACGTTTATTGGAACAACTCGTGATAATTTTGAGTCTAAAAAAGTAATTTTATAACAAGTAATTTGTTTAAAGACTATAAAGTAGATAAAAATGTAGTTAATTGTTTTAATGGTTTATTTATCAGGTTGTTAAACTTACGTATGAAGCTTACGAGCCAATGGCAGTTAAAGAAATGACAAATATTTGCGAAAAAATTCGAGCCAAGTGGGATGTTAAGCATATCGCTATTTTTCATCGCTTGGGGGAAGTACCAGTGTGTGAGAGCAGTGTAGCCATTGCTATTTCTTCTCCTCATCGTCGAGAATCACTGCAAGCCGTTGAGTTTGCTATTGATACTCTGAAATCATCAGTTCCGATTTGGAAAAAAGAGGTTTATGACGACCAACAGTCGACCTGGAAGGAGAACAAAGAATGTGCGTGGGCTTTGTCTAATCAATCTCTAGCTATCTAAATTCTTTGGCATGTTATAAAATTTATCTCTTCTGTATAAAATGATATACATATTTAATGTTAAAAATTAAATAATATTTTAAACTGCATGTTAAACTTTCTTTGTTCTTTTTTTGTAGATGATAAGATAGTAATTCCCAAAAAAGAACCGCTAGATTGTATCCAAGAGCCTTTGGCGGAAGATAATGGTGTACTGTCTGATGAGGATGACTGCAATAAAAATGAGATAATTCCAGATCAAATCCAAGTTAAAGCTAGCGCTGATGAACTCAAAAGAAGAATTGATTCTTTTATTTCGAGGAAACGTCAACATGTAAATAGTGTAAATGTTCAAGAATTTTGCCAATATAGGTTTGTAACAATAATTATTTATTTCAATTAGAATAAACGCCGATCGGCTATATACATATACATATAAGGTTTTTATTACAAGATTAAATAATTAAATAATTAGATAGCATCATTTTTATGCATGAACTTGAGAAAAAAAAAATATAAAAAAATTATTGTACAGACTAATGGAGTAGTAACAAATTTTTAGCATTATATGCAAAGAAAGAAAGTGAACTACCGAAATAATCTAACTCAGTACAATGATAATTAACTAAATTCGCAATCTTGTTTATAGGGGTCCATAACATACGTAGTTTTTTGTTGTTTTTATTGAATACATTATTATTCAGCTAATGAAATTGTTTGAGGAATTAAGTTTATAAATAAATTCATTATTGCAGGTTTTTAAATGATCAAGTTGAGGATTCGTGTGCCAGAGTTGATGCTATTTTAATTCGTCGGAAAGATTCTAAAAGTCACGTTAAAGTTCATCGTGTGTATAACCCGCATGGACCACAGACAAACTTTTCGTCCTTCAATGAATCGAATCAACAAAACACCAGCGGAAGCTCAGTATTAGATGAGAGGTTGTCGGAGTCTGAGAAATTTCTTGGCATCTCTAAACCCGTTCCTCGCGATATTTATGAGCGTGTTAAAAAAATAGAAGACAAATTACTTTACTTGGAAAGTATTTCACCTGAATATAGAAATATTTGCGTCAGTATTTTATTTTATCAAATAATTTATATTTTTTAAAAGTAATGTAAAACTAAAATTTTTATTTGATTTTAGATTCGACAACAAACAGACAAAGATGCGGACGACGATGATAAGAATAATCCCTCAAACAAAAGGGTAAGGTCTAAATATAAACTTTATATTGTTATTACTTTTGTTATTACTATGAAAGTTTATATTTATTAGATGCAAATAAGTGATAAGCACCAAGCAAATAATAGTGATATATTATTTTTAAATCGTGAGATTTCAGTCACTTTACATTTCAACCAGCATTATGCTCCAGCAACATGCAAACAACTATCACACAAAAATAAATAAAATCATCGAGGCGCATTATACTACACATATTTTTTTGTCTATCGTGTTCTTATGTAGTTGCTCATGAATTTTTTTTTCTAATCTATAACGAATATAGACGGTTCCACCTTGTGCCTCGTCGCAGTGCAATAGAAAAAAAATGACAAGCTCTGAGCTTACAATCATCATTATAAAATCTGTCAAATAATGTTATATTAATCAAAATTTCTTTGTCAGAAATAACACTATTTATTTTTATTTGTTTCAGACGTTTTCAACTGCTGAGTTAGACACAAAATTACTGGAACTCGAAAATAGATATGCGAAAAAATTGAAGTAAGATCCAGTAATTTATTGTAACATTATAACATACAATTTTTCAATCGATCATAAGTAATTCGTTGTTATTTTTTATGAAGATTGAAACGTAAAAATTGTAATACGATCAGACAATTATTATGGAGTTTCAATCTTAAAATGTCTATTAAAACTCATTGATATGTTCAATACGTCGTTATTGACTTAACACAAATATAAAGTTGTCTATAAAAATTTTATATTATATATAATCATTTTTTATTATTAAATTATTATTATTATTATAAAAATCCCCTTTAATTTAAATTGCGGGTTTATAATTGAGTTAAGCTTAAAAAAAAAAATTCTTTTTAATTTGAATTCTCTACAAGACGTTAAATTTAATATTCAAAGTCAAAAGGGGTAAAGGATATGAAATTAAAAGTGATCGATCGATGGTTGTAATCCACCAATCCCGTTTATTCGAGAATAACTTTTGCTCATGGCTGTACAGCAAAGTAGTTTGTCATACGACTGATAGAGGCAGTCGCCGTCGCGCTTCGAGACGGTATGGCCGTAAACCGTCTGATTTTTACCACTTAATTATTGTAAGGTAAGCAATATAATATTGAATAAAAAATTATTTTTACGTAAAATATCAGCTAAAAAAAGTCAGAATTTTCAATAATAATAAACTTGTTTATTTGTTACTGTGATAATAATTAAATAATAAATTTTAAAAAATTTTATCTGTTGACGGTACTTAATAGTTGTGTCAAATCACACGCGGTACGTCTACTGTTACTTCACTTTCTAATGTAATAAGAAAGATTTTTTATTTATTTTTTATTTTGACACACGTACAGATACAAATAAATTGTAGTGTCGGCCAAGGTTAAGAATGGTGATATTTTTTTCTATGCAAATATAGAAGGTAATTATTAAAATTGTAAGTGAGGTATTGAAAAAATTAATCACTTGTGACAATATTTACTTTATTTTATTTATCATAATTATTGACGAATATTTATGATAATGATAACTATTAATTACTAACGTGTCTTTAAATTAGAATTGATTAAAAAAAAAATAATTAAATTTATATTGATATATTTTTTTAGATTTGTTCATCATCTCGAAATAACTAGACCAGATTTAGTAAAAGAAATAAATAAAAGAGTTAATGACTAATAAGTGATGGTAAACTTGTTAGAGAGCTGTATATTTTAAAATTGGCGATGTATTTTAAGACAAGATCTCAGCATCCTGAGACGTTTATCTCGATGGATGAGTTCACTGGACCAATGGTAAATTTGTTCCCCTTAGACAATCTCTGCAGTCAATCCGCATTGCACTACTTATAGATCTATCGTTTTTATTTTTTCATCATCGTAACTATTTAACAATTTATAAATATACTTCACTTTCATCAACTCTGTTATTTTATTATCGGATTTTCATCGCTATTTACATTATTAGCCTTTGTTCAGCTTGCTATTTACTAATTTTGTTGAGTAATTGTATTTACGTTTGAAAAAACAGTCAAGAGAAAATATGAAAATAAAATTCATGACGTGGAACCAAGTGAAAAGGTGAATTACATAAAATAAAAGCTACACCGAAACAGTTGATTTATAATAGGGGAACTGTACTAAAAAAAAAAAAAAAAAAAAAAAAAAACATGCTTCAGCGTGGCTTTAATACTCGAACTAAACACGAGTTGTGGCCTTATATTTTATTCTATTTATTATTATATATTCCTAAATAAAAGTCAGCCAGGAAATGAACTATGGCCATAGATACACTTATAAGTGTCCCCACACGAGGACAAATAATTTGGAGGGAATAAAAATAAACCGGGACTTCCAGACGGAAACTTATATATCCCATTAATTAAGTTGATAATCGATTGGTTTAAAAATTCCTCATCACTCAACGAGATTCTAATCGTCTAATAGGCAAGCAGCATTAATTTTACTTAATTAAGTGAAAATGAAAATTGAATATACGTAATCTAAAGATAAAGATAGGAATAGGAAATGTCTGATAAATATAATCAGGAAATAACATGAATAAAATTTAAGGATTAAATATCGGGTCTTCGACCTTTTCATTTGACATTAAGAAGCATAGGTAGAACTATAATTTATAAAGTCTAGGTAAATGGAATATATTTCCATCGCGTCGTGTCTCAGTCTTTCTTATTCCTGTAGTCTAGTCAATAAACTTACCAAGTTTGCGTGTCGTTTTTATCGTCTCGGATTCCTGGGCATCGTGTCACTTCGGGCCTTGCTACTGACGCCAAATGTTTATTCACGCGATCTAAACGCCTTTGTGGACTTGTTATGTATCATTTTTAGTTTTTATTTTACCTATTTAATTTAGTTTTTAATATCGTTCTTCTATTCAACGATCTCTTATCTCAAGATTACATACTAAAGTAATACATATGGTTTTATCGTATCTGAAATAAAGATCACTGTTACGTGTATAAATCATCAATACAAATAACATTTATCCTAACTATTAGGTATTTATAATAATAAAAAATAAATAACGTTCTTGAATTGAACTTATTAAAAATTCAAGCAACATACATTTTTAATTTTATTTTACTTCCGGTAAATATTTCCATACGTTTTTATACATTTATTTTTACTTACCGCAATCATATTTATTTATGGTATGAGAATTAGTATTCCAAGAATTCAAATCAATACAAGCAATACGTTGCTTCACGTATGTACATTTACATTTCTTCATGCATACTTATATACTAACTTAAAATCAACCTTTGAATTATTTTATCCATAAAAAATAATTAGCACAATTTTAATTAATTAAATATGACTTGAAAGTAAAAATATAAAATTTTTTTAATCAAAATTAATTTATTTTTCAGTTTTAAAAATTTTCTAAAAAAAAAAAACTCATTAAACTTTTGTCATACATTACAGCTAAATAATTTTTAAACAACAATATACTTATAAATTTCTTCATTTCAGATACACACACAAAAGTATATTTAAATAAAAATAAATGGATGTTTATCCTCGAGAGTAATTTGTTTATCCAAGAAAGAGCCGGGTAATTAAGCTTGACCATTAACAAATCCACCGGCACTTAGATCGAATAAACGCCAGAAGCATATCGGAAATACCTGTTGGCCTCATGAATGAAGATAAATGGTTGTAAATATAGACAGATATATGTAGTATACATCAAGCTATACAGATATACACTCTTTGGAGCATGTCGTGCAGGGTGTGTGATCAGTCTCTCTATTTGCATAAACAGCGTTAAAGTATTAACTTTTAAAACAGTTTCCTGCTCATCAATCATTTTTTCACTTTCTTCAGAAAACAATAATCCAAATATTAGCTTTGGCAAAAAAAAGCTAGTCGCTAACTCGGTTTCTATTGATCTGCATCATTAGCGAGTTTTTCTGCTGCAATGTGTCAAGTTAACGACATGTCCAACAGTTGATGCCTGATTATACGTTAGTGGAAAAGCTTGTACACGAAGGTATAAATTGTTCTTCGAGCGTCAAGTTCAGGGTCAGTTACAGTAACCTTGTGATGTGATGCGTTATTACTTTGGCTGCAGATACACTGACACGGCAATATAAATATACACGGGCATTAATATATATATATATATATATATAAGTAAGTAGAGAGATTATTTTGAGAACTCGTGTATACATTTGACTAGTTAAGCTAATTTAATCCAGTAATTTAAGAGAGCTTCTCAAGTTTCATGACACGTAATACACTTATTTAATGTTCTTGAAACATACACATTTATCGTGAGTCTACAGTTGAGAGTGCTGTAATGTTTAGTAATTGTTAGTCTTCCAATTTTCCCTTTTGTTTGTGTTATTGTGGTCGTTTTAATATCTACACTCGGCACATTCCTGATCACATTGTTCGAATGAATGCCATTGTATCGTCTTCAGTAATAATATGTATGTATGTATACATGACGTTTATGTACATACAATAGCACTATCTCAAGAGATATTATATCGAAAAATCAATAGTACTTACCCCTCGACAATGACGGAGTATGAACAAGTGTAATTTTGTGGTGTGTCAAATACTTATCGCGTGCGGAAATGCAGTTCAGGTAAATGCAACTTTGTACCCAACACTATTGTCGTTAACGTTCTTGTTCTTGTTACAGTTGTCGTCGCCTTGTTCTATATAACTGCCAACTTATAATGGAACTTGATGAATTAGTACAAATACATACAAACATTTGATCTATATAGATCCTAAAACAAGAGAAATTAGGTGCGGATCTTAATTTGCCAGTGGTTTGAGTTCGCGTGACATTATAAATACGTGGGAATATATATCTTCGTAAAATTATATACATATATTTATGTATGTACCGGTAATAGAACCAGAAGTAGCATACTAGCATATGATAGCAGTTGCAAGTACTTAGTAAGTATCGTGTTGCTCGGGGTGCTTGCGTGACGCACGAATTAATTTTCTTTTGGGTAAACCTTATGTGGAATATATCTGCTGGTGTGGCCGTGGTGTTCCAGGTACATTGAGACTCGACCCACTTGCTAGAATTAAAACTATACCTTCTCAATTACGTCAATAAAAATTAATACTTCACTCAGGGCATTAATTAAAAATTTTAATAATTAATTAAGATATTAATCTTAATAATCACGAAAATAATTTGAGAAGCTTAGGATCAAAGGTAACATTTGCGTTATTACTCACGGGCAAGTAATTGGGCTTATTACACCTGGATAATTTGCTATAATTTTAAAAAATATTTCCAATTACCTGCTGCAATTTTGCGTGACTACGCTGCAAAAAGTTTTAGTAAATATTTACTGTTTCTGGGTATTGTTAAGTAATTTACTGGTGTTGCGGATAATTTTCAAAGGTGTAAAATTTAAAATTTAAGTGCATACTTTATTTATGTTATTTTAGCAAAATTTTTCTGTTTTACTCGTCAAATAAGCATTTAAAATTAATCTAGGAGAGGTCATAGCTCTACGACCTTTCTAAGTATAACTTACTATTCCTTGAAAGTTTTCAATACCGGATACAAATCTTTTTAATTTTAAATAAACTAAACAGAAATATAATTTTAATAAAAATGATTTTGCATGACAAGTCTTCTAAAAAGTAATTAAAAAAATTTTTCACTAATTATCATTAGTTTTAATTATAAACGATATATTGCAATATTAATTTATAAAATATGTCGAGTATAAATAAAAAAAAATGTATTTTTGCAAAAAGCTTGTCTTCTAACTAATGTAAATTTAATCTTTAATCCGAAGCTTCTCATTTATTAAATTACATTTATTGCATGTTCATTGAATAAAATAATTAATAACTATACGATAAAATTTTTTTAATAATTTTTTTTTTTACTATCTAACATCTGTCGTAACGATTGGATGAGCATGTGAAGTACAAATGGATGAAGATGATGATGATGATGATGATGCGGTTGAGAAGAAACCTCGATCAATATTATCGTTAAGATCAGCCAATCAAGTGTAATTAACTTGTTATTTATGTACCGATAAGCAATAATGATGATGAAGACAATAATAATTGTTAAAATTGTTACAATTATTACTATAAGTACATACTGGATTAAATATTTAATGTGTAAAACGAAAGATGTTAAAAAAATGATAAGTGGACTAGAAAAATGGAGTGGTCACGCGGACTTAGAAAACCTTGGGGTCATGGCCACTAATTACGAAGGCTACTGCCGCTGTCGGTGATTGTCGTCGCCGTACGTTTGTCAGTATCACCTACGTCGATTGACACAAAGTCTTTGTGGAGGTAACTCACTAAAACTGTCTGTCGTATCGGTGCCAATGGACGTTGATAATCCGGACGTTGTAGCATAAAATAACGTAACGGCGCCCACGTCTTCCCGCCAACACACATATTACATATTACTTCGCGATCCTGTTCGTTCAGGTGACTGGCGTACGTTGCAAACGTTAGAAACTGTGATGATGTTGCCTGAGTAGATAGTGTCCGTAGCCGCGTCTTCATGTCACCCAACAGCCGATAGAATTTTTTCCCGTGGAATCTGCTCCCGAGGATGTGAATCGTGTGCAATCGGTTGCATCGCTCCAGTATCCGCGTCAAATAGCTCGACCGGAGATAAAGTTTTCCCGTCGAACCAGTGCAATCGACGATACGAAGTTTCTCTAGTTTTTGATTGCTGCGAGACAACTGTCTCAGGATATCATCGCAGTCTGATCGTGTCTCAATACTGATTCGCGCCAGCAGAGGCATTCGTTTTAATTGTGCGATTATTATGTACGTCTCAGGATCGTGTTCTTTTATCTATAAAAATTTTTTTTCTTTATCATCAATAACTTTATCAATTTATGAAAATTAATTTAGCAGATATTTAATAATTTTTCTAACAAATAAATTATGGCAAAAAAAAAGTAGAAAAAAAATTGACATGTAGAAATTTAAAAAAATAAAAAATGCAATTTTTTGGAAATAATTTTTGGGAAAAAATCTATTTGTTAAAAAAATTTTTAAAATGGTTAAGTGACTGCTAACTTTAATGTCAATGATAATAAATTTAGCAGATATTTAATAAATTTTAGATTTTTTTTTTCAATAAATTATGACAAAAAAAAAAATTATAAAAAAAAATTGACATGTAGAAATTTTAAAAAACAACAAATGCAATTTTTTAAAAGTAATTTATTTGAACAAATTTATTTCTTAAAAAAATTTTAAAATTCTCTAGTGACTGCTAACTTTAATGTCATTATCAATTTTTATAATTAAAAAAAAAAAAAAAAAAAAAAAAATATTACCTCGTAAGTTTTCCAGACCGGAGGTTGCCGTACCAGTTGTTCGAAGAACGTTGAAACTTCTTCCAAGGCATGAAGATCATATGAATTTAAATACGAAAGTATTTCGACAAGTATTTCAACTGGCAATGATTGGATTCCTAGAGTTTTATTTCTGTTATTATTGTTTTGTGGATTTTGGTTGGAAGTTTTGATGCGCTTGTCGCTCTGTGATATTTTTAGTGGATCCATTACGGTTTAACCAGTCTATGCATTTTTTTGTTCTACTATCTGCAGATATTTTAGTGCCTGAATTATCGTCACCTATTAATTTGAAATTTATGCGCGCCATGCACTTGTAATTTTTTCTTGGTCGTGACATTTATGAAAACTGTGACAGAAAATTTAGTTTTTTTATAATTTTCATTTGTTTATTTTTTTTACTATATATAATTACATACAATAGGTTTATTTGGTAACCAGTGATTGGATTTTAGTATGTCGAGTAATTTATAAATAATTATGCAGGGCGTGCTGGTATTCTCGTCCGGTTTATCGAGTAGAGAAACGAGAGACAAAGTTACGTCTGATGATCATTGGCAATCCCTGAGTGTAAACGTGCGTTACGTACCGGGAAATCGACGCCGATCAAACTTTTATGTTCGGAATACACAATAAGTAGTTAGGAATATAGTTTAGTTTATTTGGTAATGCGTAGGTTCGTACAAAAGATCAATCGTTCACTGTCGGTCTTTCTAGGTTATGGATTTCGAAAGAAAAAAAAAGAAAAGTTCCTGTCATTTGGTTGCTTTTATTAATGAGATAAATTAATTATAAAAAAAATAGTTTGACTTTATTAAAATAAAAAATTAATTATTAATTTAATATTTCAGATAGAAAATGCTAGCGCAAATGAAGGTTGACCCGGTACTAAGATTGGAGGGAAAGCGAGCGAAGGAGCTGATGTCATCTTCGAGTCTTTCCGGGATGTCACAAATGTCAAACAGCAGTGAGGAAGCGATGGAGCCCTTTATCCACGAGACGTCCCACAACAACAAGTCGGACACCAGTGAAAGGTGGTTCTACCCATTATTATAATAATGTTTTCTCACTTCACATTATTATTACTGTCTACGTGGATGAAATATCGATTTTTTATATATGCTAATAATGTGAATAGGAAATTACTACCGAGGTGATTATAGAACCGCATCTCTTTTTATTACGATACCTGCTGTAAGAAATGTCGCGTTGGATCGCTTTTCTTCCTGTACACAGACGCAACGACCGCGTGATAGCATAGTTCAACTTTGAAGAAAGAGAATATAACAATTGTGTATAAAAAAAATGATACTGGAAGTAGCAAACATTTAACAATTTTTTGAATTTTTACAACCAATCAATTATTATAAAAAAAATTATTTAAAAAATTTGCACTTTTAATTTCTACACGCGAAATTTTTTTTCATTAGACCCTCAGAGTACACTGGGAGTCATTTTTACACTCCAAAATTTTTTTTATTCTAAAATATTTCTCGAAAATAGGTTCGTTTTTAATTAATTTTTTTAACATTAATAACCCTTATTAAAAAAAAAAAGATTTGAAAAGATTCACTCCAGGCATTTATATATCTATATATAAAGTAGTCTACTCAAATTTTTTTGAATCTTTTTAATCTTTTTTTTAAATAAGAGAATTATTTAATAATGATTGTATTTAAAAGAGCATTGTTTTACCTACCAAAAATGTAATAAACTGAATTCCAATAAAATGCATAGTTTCTGAAATATAATTCTTCGAAAGTCAAGTAGGGTCAATTTAATTCTGAGGGTTAATTGTTATAAAAATTTTAAAAATTGTTAGATGTTTGTTAAATTCAAAATTATATAAAAAATAAAAATAAATGAACAAAGAATACAAGAGTGGAGTCTTCACTTTAAAGGCTTAATGATTAATAGCGGATCTTGAAGAAAAATGGCAAAGTATCTGGAAAATCAGTGTTAAATCTTATCGAGATAAGTCAACGATCGCGTGTTTTACACCACGACTGGTCATATAGTCATTTTTAGTACAAGAGGATAATAAAATAGTTTTATTTCAAATGAAAGATCATAAAGCAAGGCACGTGGGTGAATAATGTGTGGGTTGTAAAAAACTCACAGAGCTCTCTGTATTAAATTAATGTCGGCTTTTTATTTATATCACTAAGTGCTTCCTCTTCTACCAACATTCGATCTTTAATACACACTTTTATTATATTTATATTTATTTATTTTTTTTAAATTACAGTACGCCTAAAGAGAACAGTGCGAGAGGTAATGAATGGCTAATTAATGGACCAGCTGGTAGTAAATCGCCTATACTACGATTCAAGTTAGTATTTTATAACTTTATATTATTTTTTTTTAATACTACTGTTAATTTGACAACAAATCTAATCTAACAACATAAATATTTTATTTCATTAAAGGTGTTCTGCATTGGCGACTCCTCCAGAAGATCCACCTGCTAAGCAATTACACATGACTTATAAAATTCTCCAAGCAGATACGAAACTAATAAGTCTGCTGCTTCAATCGCATGGTCTGACGGAAGTAAGTAATATTTTTTTCGTTTTTTAGAGTTAAAAAAAAAATTATATATAGACATATTTTTTTTTTTTTTTTCAACATAAAACCTTGAATATTGACAAGTATAAATGTTACAATAATATTCTTCATGGTAACACAGAATATACGTATATAATAACATGAATATTTAAACTTGCAATCTATAGTTAGCCATCTCTAATGAAGAGTAGAGTTAAATTTTAAACTTCAATCTTGAATAGTCTTATTATGCTTTTATATATTTCTACTATACACTACAAAGTAAGCCTGTTGACCTTCAGACAGCCTCCAAGGATAAGTAAGTTAATCCAGAAGAATTTATTAATACTGATATCACGAAACAGTCGAGAGAAAGAAAAAAAAAAAGAGCTAATTTTAATCTTCTTTTTGCTTTTAATTTTTAAATGTATTTTTTTAAAAATTAATTAATGCAATTGCTCCAAAACCAATGAGATCCAGGTGAGAGATCAACGTCTAGATTAGCACGGGCAAGCGTAGTTCTCAGTGTTTTAACCCCCTCACAGTCCAATCCCCAATTGGCGAGGTTGCCAATTTTACGTAATTTCGTGCAGTTTTTGAACATACTCAGCACTGTTGTCGCTGACACTTTGCTTGCCTCGTACACATAGAAGCACGTTAAATTTTTAATGAGACTGTTATCCGGTTTGTCAGGACTTGACGGTGATCTTGCGTCGGATGGAATATCAAGGAGACTCACTAGATGTTCATTAGTGAGATCGAAGCAGCTGTGAACGTGAAGTGAGTTTAACGCTGGCGCGAGCATCAGAATCTTGGTGATGGTTGTAGCAGAGACTGTACGTCCAAGCTGAATTTTTTTCAGCTGGATCAGCGGCTGTGGATCAGGACCGTCAAGCCATACCACGTTGGCTCCGTCCTTGGTGAACGTAACGAGATTCGGACAATGGACGAATATTTCTCTCAAATCAATCTGCAGCGGTGTTTCACTCTGCGTTACTCTGAGATTCAACTCTCGGAGAAGATGGCCGTTTGTTCGCAGATACTCGTTGAATCCCGCGAGCCATTCTTTAGCCGCCGGGATGCTGTGAACACTGAGGCTGGTGATGAAAGGAAAAAGACGGAGCGCTTCAGGCGGGTGATGAGGCTCTGAGATATGAAGTTTTTCCAAGCGAGGACACGTTTGGGCAAGCAGCTCCAATCTCGCTTGTGTTGTCCGACTGCTTCTCGCCTGAGTCAGACTGAAAGGCGTCTTCAATTCAATGACTCCGCGGTTCATTATCTCGACGACCCTGCCCATATGGTTGTAGTCCGCCAACGATTCGAGATGTGGCACATTGGCGAGTGCCAGTAGAACGCCTGCGCTCGTTACTCCAGTGTTTGCAATATTGAGTACTCTCAAAGTGTCACAAAGAAAGTTTTTGCTCTCACAGTACTCAAGAAGTACTCCTTCATTCTCCCTCTTGTCTCTCTTATTCTTTTTAACTCGAAGTTTTGCAAGGAGTGTCTTCAAACGAGACCAGCTGGTTGTTGTTTCTTGGGCAACAACAGGATCAATGTTTATAAACTTGTCTCTTAGCTCGATCTGCATCAGCAGCTGCTTTAGTCCTACGTCCGTGACTTGCATAGAGCAAGAGACGTCTAAGACAACTAGCTTGGGGCAAGCTTTGCCGATCACTTGGAGCACCGAGTCGCTGGCGATATTCTTCAACGTCAGACTCAAGAGATTGTTCATATTCATCAGCGCGGAGCGGAGTAATTTACAGTCAAGACGAAGTAAAGCGGATCGAGCCAGTTCGAGTGACTCGAGACCGACACCCTCTGCTGCCAGAAGCTTCAGCAGAGATGTTTGATGGCTACAGCCGTAGTAGCAGCACAGGTTCACCTTCAGTTGTCGTATATCGTGACCCAGAAGTAATGCAAGAAGATAAAGCGGCGCTGGTCCAGATATCAGTGTTGAACCATCAGACGCTGGACCGTAAAGCATCCGCGATGTTTCTTCTATTACTCGTGAACGCAATCGTGCTGGCAAAGCATTTACGTAGTATGGCCTTATAGATTGTTTTACTATTGTTAAAACAGAGCTGGCAGACGTCTCCTGCGAAAGCACCTGCAATCGCCGGCACGTACCGTCCAGTTGCTGGCACACTCGTCCCAAACTTAGTCCCTCCAGGGATAAAGGCTGACGGTGGCCCGGCATAGTTCATTCAACTGAAATTATCATTATAATTATAAATTGCTATTGTATGTTTTAATTATGGATAAATATTGTCAACAGAATTATTATGATTATGAGTATGAGGAATTGCAAGGTGACAAAATTAGCGAACAAGTCTTCCGCCGTCAAAATTTCCAAGGATCATGTCCGTGTATACATATATCATCATATCAATGGGTATTATTCCAATCGCGTGTCGATTGTCAACTCGGCTACAAGTATATTCAGGGGCGAATGTAGAAGCCTTATTGAATTATTAACAAGACCTTGCTAATTTAACTTCCTAAGAGAAGATATAAGAAAAGAAACAATATAATATGGTATAAAACAAACTAAAAAAATTTATTTACTCAAGCTATTATGTACCCATCGCGACATGGATGTTTTATTGCTTTTCAGTCGCCAGTAAATACTTTTTTTTTTTTGTTATTTTGTATTATATTATTTTTTGCTTATTACATTTGTAAAATGCAGCTATCATTGTCAATACTTTGTTTAAATAACTATTGTGCTAATCAAATTGTGTCTACGATTAGATATGCCGTGTTATCTTGCGCGTACTGTCAAACTTCTATTCTTTGCTTTTAATATTTTATTTGTAAAATAATGAAAATCAATAGTCTATCTTGCATCTAATTTTTTATATCAAAGTAATTTAATATTAAATATTTCTCTAGATACTTTAGTATCATCATAAACTTTATTTATAAAATTAATTTAAAAATATTATGTGGAATATTTTCTTTCGCGTAAATTTAAATACGAATATTTCACATTTTATTTTATTCTATCGTTTTACTATCTAAATAAATAATGAAAAAAAAAAAAAAAAAAAATAGTAATAATAAATAAAATAAGAAAAAGTTAAAAAAATGAGTATAAATATAAATAAAATCCGTTAGTTTGTTTATGTTACGCGAATTTCGATGATGATTTTATATAATTTAGCGAAACTATATTATATCGAGAGTGTACCTTGACATTTACAACTAAAACGCACATGACGCGTCGCGTCCGACGACTTGTAATTTACACCCGGTGAACGTTCTTTGCCCGATGGCCCGATGGTAATTCATAATATATAAAATATAAATAAAATGTTTTAAAAACTAGGAAATAATTTACTTGACGACTTTCGACATCCACATAAATTTATATACTAAGATAAAAATTATTTCTGGTTGCAGCTGAGAGTGCATTAACACTTAAAAATTTATAAATACTCCAAAAAAAAAAAAACGTTTGTAAAATAAACTTCCAAATAACTAAATATATAAATTAATAAATAAATATCAGTTGTATTTTTAAGATCGAAAAAAGAAATAAAAAAAAAAAAATCTCCAAGTCCACGGCTACTGACAGATTTAAGAGGAGAACACGCAAGGTTTTACAAGTGATTAATTCGAGTACACACACTCGCCTAAAAGACGGACATGTATACTCAAAGTAATTAAACGCGTAATAATTAAATTGAGGTCGTATGACAGGAATAACGTGAGAGATCGAAGTTTAACACACGAAAGCCTAAGAATATGTAAGAATATATATACCCAACACATATGTGTTGAAGTTGGATATAATTAAATGACTGAGACGGAGTAGAATAGTTTGCAAAGTTTGTTTTTGTGTGCAGTTGAGCTAAACTGCCGACATTAAATCAAACACTGAACTGAGAACACATTGAATGAGTCAATCTGTAGTGCAGTAAATAGATCACTTGGAAATTTACAAGAAGCATTGTGTGAGAACACGCTTGAGGATGACGGACATGCACGCATGCTAATTTCACGATTCAATTCTTGTGTTGATAAGTATTTTCATTAAAATTATTGCTCTTGTGGCTTATCATTATCATTACTAATGATAGTTAAATTATTTCCAGGTTGTGTTGCTGATGAATGAAAAATATTAGGTGTATGTGTATGTGAATATGGATAAGAACGCGTGCCTACCTTGTAAGAAGCTAGTTTCCCAACGGGTGTCTCCTGAGCGGTGGCTCGTGCTAGACTGACGACGCTGGCGAAAATCCTGAACTGTCTAGTCGTCTCACTTGCTTTGGCTTATTCCTTCTCTCGTTGTGCGCGGCCGGTCTCGCGACCTCGTGCCTCCACTCTGGCAAACGCGGCGCCGCAACGAGCATCGTAGTAAGACCCGCGACAATATTCGCGGTCTCAAAATACTAAGATGATTGGATTTCATCAAATTAAATTGTTTTGCATTTTATGTGGAGTAAAGATCAATTATTACTCCGTTAATTCCGTCATTACCATCATCATCATCATCATCATCATCATGATCATCATCATTATCTTCACCGTCGTTAAGATCATCATTAACATTATTATCATAATTACTATCAAGCTATTACATTGATGGTAATCCCTCTGGATTGAAATTTTTAATTTTTACTCTTTGCATTGACTTATTTTTCATCTCTGTCTTTATCGGTATCTCTTGGAGATCACCATGGCTCAGAGATGACCCTGAACAGAGCCAATGATCTCTATGCGATTATTGTGCCATGAAGAATATAGTATATAATATAATAAAATAAAATATAGTACAACATAAGAAGAAAAAAAAAAAACAGATGATTTATAGTTGCGTATGATTCACCAGATTCTCTGGATAATTATAACAATTTCATTGGAGGACAATTGAAATAGATTGTTGTTTAAGAAGAAAAGTATTTATATGATTATTTTAACTTTTAAATGTGAACCGGTGGTAACAACTTAAATATGTTAATAATCGAACGAGTCGTGACATTATAGTTTATTTTTGTCACGAATTTAAATTTCATCCAACAAAAGATTTTCATTTTTTATTTGTTGCTTGTTTATAAATTACGATAATTGTTATGCTCTAAATAAAATTAAATTTTATTCAGAGCACACATATATAAAACCAGACAACATAATCGTTTTTCGATGGCATGCTTGGATATAATAACTTTTAGTAAATTAAAGCTTGTAGGAAATAGCAACTCCGCTGTTTTATATATATGTAGAGTACAATCAGGGATTCCCTCGGGCTTATTTGCTGGTTTCTATTAAATTTATTTTTGCCATCGAGTTCTGTCAACAGTGTGATGTACAAAACTTATAAATCCAATTCCCGGATCTTTATTACGCACATAGGATAATCCCAAGTGAGTAATTATCTTACTCTTCCGCGGGGTAACTTGAAAATATTGAGAAGAAAACTCGACAATTGTCTCGTGACTTATATTATTATACTACAATCCATTATCGAATGTAATCAATCAATTGTTGTTTATTGTGCTCATATCATTTTTATAAGTATGTTACTGGACAGTATCTTGGTCCATATATCACTAACTTCAATTCATATGTACATATATTTAATTAAGTAAATTTATGTTATGTCTTCGGATAAATTATACTACTACTACTTTTATATTACATTATAATTGTCTTAATGAATTATAGATCAATTATTATCTAATACTTGGATTGTAACTCTAACTGTAGATATTTCGGTTGATGTTTATTTTATAACATCCAAGTCTCGTGACTCGTCTCGATAAATTCCATTCTTCAGATATTAATATTTATATATACCTGCGTTTTCCTCTGCGTGTACTATTGTAATTGAAATTCATACTGATGAATTTCAGATCCTCAATAAGTTTCGCAATCACGTTTACTATTCTTGTACCCTTTGATAAAACTCTGCTGATATTCACCTACAATATTTCAGCATTCATTCGAATATTGATGCTGGCATAAATTCTTCCTTTATTTTTTTTTAGACTTATATGTATTTTTATTGACGTTGTTATTGCTAGTTTATAAAGTCGACATAAAGAGCCTCAAGGGTTCATGACTCGTGAGTGAAAGACTTGGAGCTGAAAGCCACCAGGAGGCTATCCATACCATGGCCATCGTGATTGTTTCCGCATTGTCTGATGGCTGTTTCCGCGGTTGGAACACAAGCAGAAATAGCAGTTTACCTGTTTACCTGTTTACAATATTAAGAATTAAATCGCGTCCTTAGTTTCATTTTTACAACTTTTAGTTTTATTTAACAATTAATAATAAAAAACTATTTTAAAAAAATTACATTTATTTTATATTTTTTAAATTAAAAAAAAAAAAAATATTTCTTCATAAATAAAAATTAAAAAAATTGTCAGATGTCAATTAATTTCAGTATCATAAATAATTACAATTGCAAAGAATTCCACATCGAATAAAGTTAAGTAATTAGTTAGAATTTTTTTAATTTAAAAAAACGATCTTTATTAATGTATCCTTAACAATAATTAATGATTGACGCGTCATCGATGTCAATTGAAATGGTCTCTGGTAATAAAAAATTAAAAGTTATCTTTAAACGAGAGCGTTTAAAAAAAGCGATTACGATATTTAGTGGGAAATTTTTTACCTCCGGTAATTTTTAGTGGCTAGGTGCACTATCATTAAAATATAAAAAAAAATAAGCTCAGTGCTAATAACTTAGTCTATTAGGATTTAATGACAAGGTCATTTATCATGATACCTGGGTACGGTTTTGCATTAGCGACGTATAAGGAACGATGTGAGCCGAATATGAAACTACATACGTTTGCCGGGAGTAATCTTAACAGCACTTGGTACTTAGAGTTTACTTACGAGTACAAGCACGAGTGGTGGCAATAATCATGTTCTAACGACGTCACTGTGCTTTATCATTATAAACGTTTTCTTTGTTGATGTTAATGTGCGGCAAGCGAGCTGCTCTTGTCGAGTAGTGTTCGATGCACAACACATAACAACATAGCTCAATATATTAGTTTTAAGAGCGAAAAAACAGGTTTTACTAGCTTCCTCATATACTTAAACGTATTTTTGCGCAGGTATCCGTCAATGATACAGACTTCAATCTCTTGTGGATGGGCAATCATCCGAAGCCGGACGTATTGAGAAACTTGGCGCCATTCCAGAAGGTTAATCACTTCCCGAGGTAATTGCGCGAAAGCTTATATTAAGAAAGAAGAAATTCAACTTACAAATATTGATTTTTAAGATTAAAAAAAAATTACACTTTTCACTGTCGCTTTTGTTGCGCAAAAATTTTAAATAAATATAAAAAATACTGATGATTTTATTTTACAGGTCTTATGAAATAACTCGGAAAGATCGGCTGTACAAGAATATCGAAGCGATGCAGAGAAGCAAGGGCTTGAGGAATCTCGATTTTATCCCTCAAACATTTCTCCTGCCCAGCGAGTACAGAGAGTTATTAACAGCGCACTTTAGATACCGTGGACCGTGGATTGTTAAACCTAAAGCCAGTTCTCGGGGTCGTGGCATATACATAGTAAATAGCGTAAGTTTTTTTTTTTTTCTTCTATTTTTAATTATAATATTTATTTATCGCAACTAGTCATAAAGAATGTAAAGTAATTTATGAATATTTTTTTTTTCTTGCAGCCGGAAAAAATATTTACGGAAGAATCAGTAATTGTGGCGCAGTACATAAACAATCCACTTTTAGTCGACGGGCATAAATGTGATTTACGTTTGTACATTGCAGTAACAAATTACGATCCGTTATTAATTTATTTGTATGAGGAAGGACTAGTTAGATTTGCAACTGTTAAATACGAGGGAGGAAATCAGTATGTCTGGAATCCGTGTATGCATTTATGCAATTACAGTATAAATAAATTTCACGTTGATTATATAAAAAGCGAAGATCCTGATGCTGAAGATGTCGGTCATAAGTGGACACTGTCAGCGTTGTTGAGACACCTGAGATCGATGGGACAAGATACTGAATTACTTATGCAACGTATCGAGGATATAATCATTAAATCGATTTTAGCTACAGCCTCGGGTATTGTCAGCGGTATAAAACAATTTGTTAAGCATCCAGATACATGCTTCGAATTGTTTGGGTTTGACATATTAATTGACGACACACTCAAGCCCTGGCTTCTCGAAGTTAATTTGACGCCATCACTAGGCTGTGATTCTCCGCTAGATGTTAGGCTTAAATCAGCGCTAATGGCTGATCTGTTAACGCTCGTTGGTATTCCAGCAGTCGATCCTATTTTACGTCCGCAAAATACGCAACAGAATCGATCACTTGGCAACGCTACCAAGCGATTAGCTAGTGTAAGTTTTATACTATAAATGTTTATTCATGAAATTATTTTTTTTTTTTTTTTTTTTTTTATTTATAGTATTTATTTTTCCTGTTTATAAATTATATAGTTTCATTTCAATCAAGATATTTAATATTAATATTGTGAATGAATTATTCAGTACAGGCGAGTGCATTCTGCAGAGACATTGGCGCAAAAAAAGAAAACTAACAAGCCGTCAAATCGCTCAAATCTCACGTCAGAGCAATTGAGAATTGTCGCATCTGCAAAAGCACAATTTGAACGAAGAGGGGGATTTGTGCGTATTTTTCCTAGTCCAAAGTCATGGGAAATGTACTCGCAATACTTAGGTATTATAATTATTATTATTAAGAGAATAAGAAAAATTTTGTGTTTCGTGAAATTTAGTTTCATTGCAAAGATCTTGATTTGAATTTGTGCCTTTTCAAGGTTTCATTTCATTCTCATTGATAGTCAATTTATTATGATAAGTATTTAGGCTGCATTCGAAAATTCTCTATTTCTAAATACATAATTAAAAAATGATCTTGTATTTTGTGAACTATTGACATTTTTAAAGATATAAGCTCATCCCGATGTTACACTCATCAAGACCTTTCATTTGAGTACCCACATTAATTTTTCATATATTTATATATATATTATATATATATATATATATATATGAAAAATATATCAAAAATGCATGTGGGTACCCAAATGAAAGCTTTTGATGAGTGTAACGTCGAGATGAGCTTATATTTTGAAAAACGTCAATATTTAAGAAAGTACAGTGCAATTTAACATAATTAAGAAACGAGCTTGTATCTTGTGAACTATTGACATTTTTAAAGATATAAGCTCATCCCGATGTTACACCTTTCATTTGAATACCCACATCAATTTTTTATATATTTCATATATTTATATATATTCATATATGAAAAATATATCAAAAATGCATGTGGGTACTTAAATGAAGCTCTTGATGAGTGTAACATCGGGATGAGCTTATATCTTAAAAAACGTCAATATTTAAGAAAGTACAGTGCAATTTAACAAAAGTCATTATTTAATAAAGCAAAATTTTATTTATTTATAATTCACAAATCACGGCAGTCACATAGTGACTGCAAGGTTGCTAGTAATTAATATTATTTAATAATAAAATAAAACTTGTACTTAAATATATTATATTTATAATAAATTTAATGACAGATTTATTAAAAATTATATTTTTAGATCCAACTACTGGGATTCCCGTGGTATCAGATCCTCTAGGGCCCAGCAGAGTGCCTCAGCAGGTCAATACAAATCACAATCTCATGCTTCATGAACAATTATTTCCAGCTGCTAGTCGTACATCCGGCTTCTCTGTGCCAGAAGTAACATTAGATCGGCTATCGAGGTAAATATTTAACAAAATTTTTATATAAGTTGAAAAAATATAATTATTTATTATCAGATCAGTAATTTTATCTTATTAAATATAATTTTGCACGACACAGGTATGAAAGATATGAGCGGGCATTAGTCAAAGGACATAAACAAAGCTTAGATCGCGGCGATAGCAAGGAAAATATCGACGTTGACACGCAGAAGTACAAGGATCAAGTTACCCAGATGATGCAAGAGGGTAATAAGCTTAGGTTTGTATTTTTTGATGTTTAATAGCATTCAATTATCCGTCTACGGATTATTTTGTAGCAGGAGTAGTTAAATTATCCATAAAAAAAAGTTGAATACTCAATAGTTTTTTTTTTTTTATAATCGAAATGACCTTCATATTGATTCTTGTATCACCTTGTTCGTTTTTTAGTCCCGGTGAGGCACGAAAGGCCTTCGGCTTGTATTTAGGATGTATTCTTCGCAAAATTTCGCAAGCGAGTGCAGACTCAGTAAGCTGTGACCTTGTGATGAAGTTCCTGCAGCAATCGTCAAGCAATTTACGCACACCTTTTGTATTTACTGTAAGTAATATATTCATAATTTTATTAGAGTCGTTAAATCGATACTTGTTATACAAAATCCATAATTCGTAAAATTTTAAAAATAAATAAATTTATTTCAGTTACCAAGCAATAAATTGAGTGACAAAGATCGTGCCGCAATAACAGCTAAGCAGTTGTCAGATTTTCTACATCTTTATAATCGGGAAACAGATTTATACGCTGATACCGTTGATCGACCACGTACTGTACCTAACCGATTATTTCAAAAATTTCTCGCCACAGCTAGGTACTCATTATTTTTATTTATTTATTTTTTTTTATCAAGATTGATTGTTGGTGAAATTATTTATCCTACATAGCGGAAGTCTGTGAGTGAGTAATAAAAGTAAATTATTGTTATTATTTATAGGGAAGAAGATCTTGATGACGTGTTGATACTTCAAACACGCCTCTACAATTGTGCCCACAGTTTTCTTGGTCGTAGTGGCTTTGCGGGTAATTTACGAGGAAACAACCTTTTAGGATCACTACCACAGATTACATCAAGAGTGCACTCTAATGCCGCGTCGTTTGAGCAATGCAAGTGCACTCAACCTAATAGACCAAGCAAAGCTCCAAGAACGTGAACGGCTGTGTATTTAATATTTATTAAGTATCATTCACTATTGTCAAATTTACTATTCTGTAAGATATTTATGGCGGCATAAGTTAGAAAATTTAATATCAGTTTGGTAATTTAATTGCCAGCCGTCCGGTTTTATTAGACAATAGGTTATTTTATTTATTAAATTTTCTCATCAACAATAACGGTGATATTAATCGATACTTATGAGCGGCCTAAGTCGTTCCCATTTATGGAGACAAATCGACAATCGTGCTAATTTTCATGTCATGTCTAATTATATTGCTTACGTGATTTTATTTTTAGATCTGAATTTTTTAAGTCATTTTTTTTATATTGGTCAATTTTTACGATGGTGCTAGTCCGGTTAATTTTTAAATTTATTACTGTTATTTTTATTTTTAAGCGTATATTATTTAAAGTGCATCCTATTTAAAACCGCATGCACTAACAATTTAGCTTGTCATTAAATTAATTAATATATTTTATTGAACGTGTGTGGTTTTCATTTAAGCGTTTTTTTTTTTTGGCAACTTCAGTTCAATAATTAAATATCTATAGTGATGATGATGATGATGATGATGATAATAGTTTGTCTTATTTTCATATTTACTTATACTGATAATATATCTATCTAAATATTTAATCTTTTTATATCTAGTCAGGAAAGAAGTATAAATAAATAATCTCAAATTAATACGTATGGTTGAACAATTAAAAGTTGTTGGCTAGTTTGAAAATATTTTTTGAGCAGGCTCAGTAATTCTATTAATAAATATAATAACAATAAAATAAAAATTATATTGATAATGCATTTTTCTCATAATTCAGAAATCATAAGTTATTTAAATATATATTGAATGCTAGTTGATATTTTTCGAGTACAATCTAAAATAAATGCACAAAATTGAATGGTCTGAATGAAATATGTGAAGATATTTTTTTTTCGCGCATTATTTTTATAGGACACAGTTTAGGTATAATATTTAGAAAGAAATAATTATGATTATTGATTTTTTTTTAATTGTATCCATCCAATAAATTCCGTCTGCATGTTGCTTACTATTTATATTACGAAATTATTTTATCATTTAAAGTTCATTGTCGTTTAAATGCATGAGCTGTGATAAAAATGATTTATTTTGTATCAATTTTTATTTTTTTTTTTTTTTTTATATTTATCTTAAAAAGTAAAATTACATCAAAGAATTTGATAAAAATTTTACGTATATATATTTGTTATTAATACATGAAAAAATACTTTATTATTTAATTTATGGAATTTTTAATTGTGTTTTATTTGAGTTTAATATTGTTTTGATTATTTATGTTGCTTTAATAATGTGTTATAGTTTTCGCAACAAATGTTCGATTGATTGAAAGTTCGCACAATATAATTGTATGGATTGTGAATGCTTAGAGTGATTATATATTATAAAATAAAATGAATTGAAAAGAACAATGAGTGTGGTATAAAGTATTTTAAAAATACGTACGTGTTTTTATACATGTCCACGCTTTTTAATTAATAATTAGAGTTTAATGATTACATAATTCATAAAATACAAAAAAATATTTGAAAAGAGAAGAATTATAATTATAAACAGTTAAAAAATAATTACAATGCGGCTCAAATGTAATTAAGAAAATAAATTTGTCTTATTTATACTGCCTTTAAGTGATGCCACAAAATTTGAATTAACATTCAGCTGTTTATAAAATTATTTATTAATGTAAGACATTTAAAAAATTATTTATCGTTCCTAGGAAACTGCTAATGCTACTTATGTGTCAATAATTAAAAAAACAATTAAACTGTCAATTTACAATAATTATTGTAATATTTAGTATAAATGTAAATTTATCGAAGCATTTATTGCAAAGATAAATTTATGAGTTGAACAAATAAAATTTGATTCATTATAAAATAAATAATTATTTTATGTATCTTAAAAGAAATGTTAACTTTTTATTTACATGTAACTAAACTTTGAATATTTTTTACCTGGTTCCTAGTCAATTTTTATTTTACGATAAATTTATTAAAATGTAAGACCATGTCGTATTATATATTTTTTCATAGCAAATTAAATATTATATATTATTAAAAATAAAAGTACTAATTCAATATATTAAAAGTTGATTCATTGTATTTTAAATATTCCCATATATCAAGACACTAAATGAATATAAATAGTGTGATTATCAATAAAAAAAAATTATTTTTCCACGCAATTACACCTGATTAGAATAAATATAAAAAAATTAGTAATTTTAGATTAAAAATTGAATTTTTTAAACAATAAATATTCCAATCCATTGAGATTTTATCAATAATAAACACATAAACGTTTTTTCAAGTTTAATAGTTTAATGGAAATTTATCTAAAAAACATTTTCATTATGCAAACCTTGTCTTCCATATGCGTACGCGTACGTATAAAGTTGATAAAATATTTTTTATATTTTTTTATAGAATGATATGCTCGATTTCTATGACGCAAGAAATTACATAAATAATTATTTTTCTAAACATACAAATAATATTTTATCAATTTTTATATACATAAATATATATAGAATATAAATACAGATGTAAATTTCAGTTATTTTACATTGTATATTAGCAACTAGTCTCACTATATTACAAATTATAAAATATTGAACGAAAAATAATATAATGGCCACAATTAAATTCAAAGAACCATCACCTTATTCAAAACCCAAACCAAGACCACCCACTGAAGATTATTTGTATAAAATGTAAGTATAATTTTTGTTAAATAAATTATTTATCTGTAAAAAAAAATTGTTTTTTAAATTATTTCTACCTTTTACTTAGTTAATTAGTTTATACTTGATGTTATTTTTCAAGATTTGAAGATGATTGGAGCTTAAAAAGCAACGCAGATGCTGATATAATAGTCAAAGTTGCAATTTTCGGAGCGGGTCGAGCGGGTACAATTCATTTGGCAAATATTATTCATAATCCTCGAATGAAGCTGATGTACATTGTTGATGATGTTGAAGCTAACTGGCCAAAAATGAAGAAACATTACCGTCTGAATGACGTTATTTTTCTAAACAGTAAACAATCAGATAAAGTTTTTAAAGATCCCAAGTAAGTTTTACTGAAAATTAATTTATTGATTATTAATAATTTATTAATTCTATATTTTAAAATTCTAATTGTAAATTCTTAGTTGTTGAAAAAAATATAATTTATCGATAAATTTATATTTTGACTTATTTTATAAAAATAAATCGAAAGTAATAATAATAATAACAAATTATTGATGATAATAAGTACATTTTTTTAGTGTTGATGCGGTAATTGTCTCATCTCCAACTCATACCCACGAATATATAGTAACCAAATCATTAGAAGCTCGCAAAGCTGTTTTTTGTGAAAAACCGATCGCTGAAAATCGAGAACAAACGGAGAAATGTTTTGAAGCAGCGAGAAAAGCTGGAAGACCTCTTTTTACAGCTTTCAACCGGCGATTCGATCCAAGTTACAATGCCGTCAGAGACCGGATTAGGAAAGGAGAAGTTGGACATGTTCATACCATCAAAATAGTCTCGCGAGACTCTCCAATGCCTAGTATAGAATACCTCAAAGAATCTGGAGGTATTTTCCATGATTGTATGGTCCACGATATTGACATGATGACTTGGATATTGGGAGAGTATCCGATAAAGGTAAAAAATAAATTAATCCAAGCGGCACAAATTTTTTTTTGCTAATATTTTGCTGAATTTAAGTTGACGATTATTCATTTTTGACTTCTTTTTTAATTTATTTTTTTTCATACTTGGTAATTAAAGGTTGCAGTTCAAGCATCTGCCAACGTACCTGAGATAAAAGCAATCAATGATTTTGATACTGTCGTCGCAACTTTAAAATTCCCATCTGGAACTTTAGGAATGATTGACCTTTCTCGCAATGCGTGCTACGGTTATGACATGAGACTTGAAGCATTTGGACCCAAAGGGTTGGTCCGCGCTGAAAATGAGCAGCCTATTCATTGCGTTGAAACTATGTACAATTACAATGGTCCAAATACCGCTCCTATCTGGTACTCGTTCCCCAGCCGTTTCCGTTTAGCTTACCAAAAAGAACTTGATCATTTTATAGACGTTGTACTGGGTAAATGCGAGATGATTGTCAAACCTAAAGAGAATTTAGCTGTTAGTAAAATAGCGAGTATTGTTGAAGAATCTGCACGGAGTGGAAAAATGATTGACATTCCATGGTATGAAGATGAACTTCCAAAATAAATTTTTTTTTTTTTATGGTACTGAAATTAAGAGATCTGTCAATTTTTTTAATTTTTATAACAACTAAATTATTATGAAGAAACTTTAACGAAAAAATTCCACATTTAAAAATTAAAAAAATTACTAGTGCAAATTTTTTTTGTAATTAATTTTTGATAAAAATCCAAAAAATTGTTATGACATTAAAGTTAGCAGTCACTTGATTATTTTTTAGTTTTTTTTTTTAACAAATAAATTTGTTTCAAAAAATTATTTTAAAAAAATTGCATTTTTTATTTTTTAAAATTTCTACATGTCAATTTTTTTTCTTCTTTTTTTTTGCTGAAGTTTATTAATTATAAAAATTCTAAAAATTATCAAATATCTGCTAAATTAATTTTCATAAAATTGTTAGATATGTCTTTTAATTTCAGTATCATTTCTTTATCAATGTGTTTTTTTTTTCCTAATAATTGTCTGAGTATTTTATAATTTTGTTTCAAGAAATAAAAATTTATCAAATAATGTTATGAAATAATTATAAATATTGTGTTGAAAAAAATAAATATAGCATTAAAAAATCTTTTTTTTTTTTTTTTTCTTACTTTTCTTTCACTGAAATTATTTTACCGCTAAAACAGTAATCTCACAATGCCTCCAACTGTAAGATAAAATTCCAAGTCGCCAACAGTACAAAAAAATTGTATGTGGGCAGTAGTGGGTGTATTGCGCACTGTAGCTGTCAAATAAAACACATATTTTCATTCTCCATGCCGTATTAGGATTTACTATCACTGAAAAAATGTCATTTCTATCTGCAATACGCCTCGATTTAACGGACTAACACATTTCACTGATGGTTTCAATCACCGCACCACGTTTTATGGCCATAATATTGTAACCAGGTTATTTCTTTTGAAATTATTCATTCTTACATTTAAACTCCCAATCATTTATTTTTATACTTATATCATCTGGATTGTAAATGTAAGTCTAAATATTTATCAATTTACACTTAAATTAATTAAAAATTTTTAATAAAAAAAAACTAAATTATTTTTAGAAAAACCAGAATTCAAAAATGCATTTTTCAATTCCTGACACTCAAGAATTCATCGATGGATCCGGGAATTCTTTTGTGGTAAGCAATTACAGATAAGTATTTTTAGATAATTAGTCACAAGATATTATTTTTTACCAAGTTATGCAAAATCTTTATCTTTTCGTTCATTAAATAGCACATTTATTCATCATCATCATTATTATTATTATTATTTTTAGAGCTACAATATCCATATAAATGGACTCTTCCACTGCTCAGTAAGATACAAACAAATGTTGAATCTTCACGAGCAATTAGTGAAAGAAATAGACGTAACACTTCCAACATTTCCGCCTAAAAAATTCTTCCCACTGACTGCCAATCAACAGGAAGACCGTCGTCTGTCATTGGAGAAATATATCCAGACAATTGGCCAAAATCCAGCGATAAATAATTCCGAGTTATTGAACGGATTCCTGCTGAACGCCCAGCAAGAAACGAGTGCTCGGGTGATGGAAAATGACGAGTTTCTTGTCTATCTAATGAATAATCAAGAAATAAAATTACAGGTATCAACCGGTGATAGCTCAACAAAAGTATTAGAGAAAATTTGCCGTCACCTGAATTTACCGCCTCAGTATGATTCATATTTCTCTTTGTTTATCATCGTCGAGAACGAGAATGGAGATGTCAATATTCTGCGAAAGCTGCATGACTTTGAGTCTCCTTTATTGACACGTGCTAATGTTAATTTTACAAACGTTCAGGTGGTTCTTGGTAAAGGCTATTGGGACATAAAAAATGATAGTAAATTAATTAGTGACCCCGTAGCACTTAATTTGCTTTATATTCAAGCGGTCGCTGAAGTAAACCGCGGATGGATCTTAGTGCCAAATCCATTGCAAACTCATTTGCAAGATTGTTACAATAAAAATAATAAAAATGAGTATTTAAAATTGGTGAGTTCATTTAAATATTATGGTTTTATACAATTTGCACCGTGCTATTGTGATTTTCCTCAGGCAAATACCAAAGTGCAAGTCGCTATTGGTAGAAATGAATTAAATTTACGTATTTTTATGGAAAATAACGAAGAACATGAAGCAATATTTAAAGTAACGCGTATGCGTTGTTGGCGAATCACTACACTCCAGAATAATTTCATTGATAAGAATAATAAAGAGGAGACTAATGACTACAGTTTAGAATTGTCATTTGAATATCTGGTTGCTAAAAATCAACTGCAGTGGATCACAATATCTTCAGACCAGTCGATACTGATGTCTGTGTGTCTTCAGAGTATGATTGACGAGTTGTTACTCAGGCACGTAAGTAGTCCTAAAAATAACCAACTGAGTGGAAAATCGTGGACTTATATCATGAGAGATGGCCACAGCAGAATCACCATGGGCTCTAATATTTCTCATAGTGCTCCGGGTACGCCGACTATCAACAGTGATAGGGTACAAAAGGACAAATTTAATCAAGACTCTGGTGGAAGATCAGATGATACTGTTATTAAAAAATTATCTGAGCGATTTTCTAATGCAAGAAATAAAAAGACAGATTGTAGAATGACAACTCGGTTAAAACAACCGAGTACGAGTGACTGTGATATCATGGAAAATAATGCATTTCATATGATAGGAGATGAAGATCTTTGAAATAAAAATTTTGTACAGATAAAGATTATTGTCGTCAATTAAAATAATTATTATTGATATATTATTTGTAAAGAAGATTTTTATAATGCACTAAAAAATATCGTAACTGCACTATTTTATCTAAAACATGACATATTCCATTTTATCAAAAGATATATTATATTATAAATATTATTATTAATATTAATTGATATGCAATTTAATATTGTATCTGTCACGCTGCTCAAATTACAATAGATTTTATTTATATATTCTTGTCGCTATTAATAATTATCTCGTGGCCAGTTTATTTGCCGGTGCGTTTATTTTAATATTCAGGAATAACATTCGGTCACTTTAATTTATTAGTTGATCAATTATTGTTTATTTTATATTACAAATTTATTTATACTTTTTTCTATTTGAGGACGTAATTGTATAGAAAATTTTTACTGGTTAATTATCAAATACGTATTGTTATTAAATTTTTTTGAATAATAATATAATAAGAAAATTGTTAATTTAAATTAAAATAAACAAACCACGAAAATTACACAATCGTTAATAAAATAACAATTGTGCCAAAAGTGCTATTTGACTTAAAAAAAGGAAAAAAAAAAATAGTGAAAGAATATTCCAAGCCGTCCAATAGTTAAGAATTGAATAATTCATTTTTTAAAATTTATTTATTATTATTATTTTGAAAGAAACAAAATTAATTAACACATTATTATACAACAAATAAATTTATTATATGATTAAATAACGTTTCTATTGTAAGATTATATTACATATTTTATAACTAATTAATTTTAAACTCACTGTCATCAATTTATATACTTACGTAAATGATATTTTTCAAATATATTTTAACGTTAGATCTAATTATAAGCATATTATTATTGGATTAATTTTTTAAAAATAAGCACCAAATTAATTACGAACAAAGCATTTTATTAATAAAATAAAAAAGAAAAATTGATTTATTTTAATGAAATTATATTAATAATGTCAATTGTACTAGTTGAATATATGTGATACATATCCTGACAAACTGTTATAATTGTTAATTATAAACGTTTTTTATTTCTATTATTATTATTAGTATTATTATTACATTACGTAAATATTATTTGGGCGTTAATAATGCGTTTTTAGTAATAATCAGTGTTGGTAAAATTCCACTCATGTGTATTATAAATTCAAGGCCTCTCAATTAAGATTGTGCTTTTATTTTCAATAATTATTATTGTAATTATCAATAGTTTGTTATTACGAATTTTACTTTTGTATTTAAATATATATTATCATATTTTAAGAAATATCGGGAAGTATTTCACAATTATTTAGAATGTGTTGTTACAACTATTTTTATTTGACGAGTAACATTTTTAGATAATTTACAGGAAATTAGACTAAGGAATATGATAAAAATTAGTGGAGAATTGCCAACTCTGTAATATTATATATATTAATAATGTCTAAGAAAAAATAATTATTGAATATATTATTTGCATTATAGATTTTAATAATAAAAAGTAAACATTTACAATAAGTAAAAAAAAAAAAAAAAGATTTAAAATTAATGCTGAAGTTTATATATAATATATGATGTAAAATAATTAACGCCAAAATTATGCTCGTTAACAGAAATATCAACAGATTTATACATTAATATGTAAATAAATAAATGATGCCTTTTAAATATTGTTCAAACATACATGATCTTCCTTGCAATTTCATTTATTAAAAGTGACAAATTGTTAAAATAAAAATACTTAAAATAACTGGAGTTAATTATCAACCATTAAATGGTATAAATTTAATTTTTTCAAAAAAAAAAAAAAAAGTTATTCATTATTGACTCCAATATTCTATAAATAATAACAATGTATAATACAATTAAAAATGTCAAATATTAAAAAATGTCATGATTCGTGGTGAAATAAAATAAAAATAATTTTTTAGAATCAATAAAAAATGTACGCGCATATTTAATTACTGTAAAATCTTTTTTTTTATCATTTAATTTGAGTAAAGTATATTCTATAGAAATAGAAGGTAATTAATTATTATTGTTTTAATTAATATAATTAACGTAATCAATTACTCGTCTGTATACTTTTTTTTTTTTTATTATATGGCAACATTACTTGGTCAATTAAATACTTAATTACGGTCTAAATGTGTATTGTTTGACGTCATTATTAATTTCAAATTCAGATCTTGTATTGCGTTCATTATTTATTATTATTTCTATATCAAAAATATGTATTATTACTTTGTACGATTACTGACTAAATAATCGTGTTTCAAGATTATATCAGTTCTGGCTATTAACTGTTACTTATTATTTTTCAATTATGCAGGATAGCTTTTAATTGTCAATTAATAAACTCCATATGCCCACAGAAGTTATTGTAACTGCAATGCTCAAAATAATCAATAATAATAATAATAATAATAATTATATCAGTATTAATAATAAAATAAAATAAAACGTGCTATCAATTAATTAATTAGCAGCGTTAAGTAACAAGTCTTTAATAATGATAACTGTAATAATTATTGCTATTATTATTAATTATTTTATGAATAACTTTGCAAAATAATATTTTGTTGTCAAGAATATTTTTTTCTTTCCACGAAATTATTTTTATTTTTAATGCATAAGCATATTTTGACAAACTATACTGTTTTTTATTTTTGCATCTATCAGCAAAATTTTAATAAATTTTAAATAGCTCAAGTAACATTTTTTTTTCTTTATTTTTCTTTTTGATAATAATAATAAACTGAATAATAACGCATAAATGCCTTAAATAGGAAGACTAATTTCTAGATTTTTTTTTCTTTCTTTCCTTTTTAATTATTATTATAATGAATCAACCTATGTATATTGTTATTTTTTACATGTGCATCTTTAAACATCTCAAATAGTTTTATTATAAGTTAAAGTAAGATAAATTTTAATATTTTATTAATAATTGTGGGAAAACGTATTGATATATAATGAATTTAGTTGTAAGAGTGAAGACTTAAGATTTTTATTTTATTATATTCTATTGATTTTTATTAAATTATTTGGCAAGTAAATTTGATTATTAATTCAATTATTTAAAAATTTATGGAAAAATAATATATTGTATTACCGTCTATATCACTAGAGTTTAATTATTTAGACTTGACACAAATTATCCATTAAATCATTAAACAAATATTATTGCAAATAAATCCTCATTTTCTTTCAAATTTAACTAGTTAATTGCTTTAAATAAAAAAAAAAAAAAAAAAAAAAAAAAAAATAACGATGACAAAAATTTAATAAAAATATATTACACTAATATTAACCAAAGTGGATTAATCAATTAAAACAAGCCAATTCGAAAATAATTTCCGCTGAAATATATCAGGAAGAAACGAAGAGTAAGTAAAAATAATAAGATGCACTATGTGTTGTAAATAAATGTGGGTTACACTCACAGGAGTACGTAAATTCGCGACATGATTACAGAATAAAATTTATAAATTTATACAACTGTACACTATCATCAGACATCTATTTTAACGTACAAAAATTACCAAACTGTTAGAAATTTTGCTGGCGTTTTCTCTTAGTATCCATGGCATCGAGAATTGGCTGTCTCTTAGTTTGATACCTCCTTCGGAGTTCATCAATCTCGCGTTCCATTTCTGCGTCAAGACTAATCATCCGTTGCTGCAGCTCCTCGTACGAGAGGAACTTTAACTGCAGGATATGGTTGTTTATCTAATGTTCAATTGTTTTCATAATAATGCCTATTTTTTATTATACTGTAACTATAAATAAAATACTTACAAAGTCAAAATCACGTTCTGTGAATGCGTTTTGAAATTTAGGAATATTATTATGCGGTTGGTCAGGCACTGGATGAGATATTTGATTTAGTTGGAGCTGTAAATGGCTTTGGAACCTCTGAGATTCCGTCGGAGTTGGTGGATCGACTTTATTCTCTGCTTCGGTGTTGTGTAGGATCTGGCCATTGCCCTAAAAATAATTAATTTATTAAGCGGGTTCCATTATAAAAATACCAGTTATAATATATTAATACAAAAATTCATAGGTAGTTGGAATTAATAAATGACAAAGAAAGCAATCATGTTATTGTTATTATTGCGACGTTTCGACTCTTTATTGAGTCTTCATCCGGCTCTGAAAAATGCATTTTTCACATACATTATTTGCTTGACTACATTCATGTACTAGTTATAATAAAATTTTATAGTTGGTTTAATAATTTTAATAGAGCACAATAGATTTAAAATTGTATTTATGAATTTATGTATGTATTTTTCAGAGCCTGATAAAGACTCAATAAAGAGTCAGAACGTCGCAATAATAATTGTTTTCTTTGTCATTTTAATAAATGACATTATTATGTCATTAATTATTTATGTCATTATAATGTGACATAATTTATGTCACAATAAATGACAAAAAAATTCACAGGTAGTTGAAATTAATATTTCAACTACCTGTGAATTTTTGTATCATTTTATGATTTTGGATGCGACAAAAAATGGAAGTTATAATATATTTGATAATAATAATTATAAATAATAATAGTAATAAGTATGTACTTAGTGTAATAGATAAATACATAGAATGCTCTGACTCAGCCTCTATTTAATAAACATAATTTCGAGAAACAATCAACATTGGTTATCTGATAAACATCAAGGCTGTTATCAATTTTATAGAAACTGTTAAAGGCATTCATTAATCGGTATAGAGCGGCAGATGTAGCAAAGTAATTGTTTTTAAAATAATCCTTATAATTTATTATAAATATTAATAGTTATCAAAATTTACCTTGACAATTTCTGGAGCTTCTTTTTTATCAAAATGATCGAGAAATAGGGGTCGGTATTTTTTTCCTGACTCAACGGAACCTGTATTGTGCCCTAATATTTAAAAAACCGATAAAATCAATAATAATTAACTTTTTATGTTCATAATTGTAATTATTAAATTAAAAATACATTACTTTTCATTGTAGCTTCATTATCGGTGTCACTATTGATAACCATAGTACCCAAGTCGAGTATTGTTGAAACTAGAGTTCCAGTATCCGGTAGATCTCCAGGAACCAGAGTACCCGGATCTTCTGGGAGAAGTTTCATCGTTCCGCTACAATCTTCCTCATCCTAGTAAATAAAAAGCAATAAAAATAAATTATCCTTCAAAAAATTCACGTATCTAACTCATTATCCAACGACATACCGAATCATCAGCATTATTCTGTCCTTTGATCGCGACATTGTTAATAATATGAGTACGGTGAGCGCTCTGTTTCTCGCGTATCTCATGAGCATCCGCGATCATCTGACTAAGAATATTCGGCTGCTTCGCAGCGCCTATGAACTCATGATTCAGCAGCTCCGTGGCTGTCGCACGTTCTTCGGGATTTTTGACAAGACACACACTGACAAAGTCAATAAACTCCGGGCTCCACTGGTCAGGTTCTCGGAAACTTGGAGGCGGTTTCGTCGGGATCATGAATATCGCTCTCATAGGATGGATGTCACCATAAGGAGGTTTCCCTTCAGCCATCTCCAATGCTGTTATTCCTAGAGACCAAATATCTGCGACACAGTCGTAACCAATCTCTTGAATTACTTCCGGCGCCATCCAAAATGGAGTACCAATCACAGTATTTCTTTTAGCCATCGTATCCTATTAATTGATTATGATAATTTAGTGTAAAATAAATTTATAATTAATTAATTAATTAATGATAAATAAATAATTAAATAACTATACCGTTAGTTGACCAGCCACACCAAAGTCCGCTAATTTAGCATGACCTTCATTATTGAGCAAGATATTACCAGCCTTAATGTCTCTATGTATTTTTCTTCTTAAGTGAAGATACTCTAAGCCTTTAAGAGTATCACAGAGAATCGTTGCGATTTCATCTTCTTGCAGTGTTTTTTTCCGTAACCTCATTATGTCACTAACAGAACCAGCTCCACAATACTCCATTACAATCTAAATAATCATAAAAAAAAAAACTATTTTAATAAGCAATCTTAAATTTTTAATGACTTGTCATTTAATGAGTTATAAGTAGAACTATCTTACATTAAAAAAATATTTTATTTTAGTATAAGTAAATAATTTTACCCAGAGATCTGTATTTTTAAAGTAACTCCCATAGTATTTAACAACGTATGGAGAATCGCATTGTTGCATTATAGATATTTCTTTTATTATTTCTTGTAAATCAGTATCCACTGGTACTTGTTTTATAGCTAGCACTTGGCCACTCTCTTTGTGCAGAGCTTTGTACACCGATCCATAAGATCTACAAGAATAAATAATCAAGTTGATAAATTTAATTATAATTTATAATTAAATAATATAATAATAGTATTATTAATCATACCCTTCGCCAAGTTTACAAATAATATCAAACACTTCTTCTGGCTGTCTGGTCAAACTCTCTTCGGACAACTTTTTCAATTCACTGAAACAAAATAAACAAATAGTTAATTAATATATGTAAAAGTAAGTTATAACAAATCTAGTTTGGTAAAATGACAAAATTATTCAACATAAACTAATAAAAAAATAATAATCATAACACAAACTATAAATAAATTTGATCCGCAATTTATAAAAATAATTTTACTAAAATCTAAATAAAGCCGACTGTAAAAGTAATAACAATCAATCAAGTTACCTCTTAGAAGACATCTTAATAGTTAAAAAAAATCACTGGTTCCTCGGTCTATAAATGTTAATTGTTGTAAAAAATTCCACCAGCATCCACGAAAATTTTTTTTATATTATATATTTACAGCTCTCCTCTGAAAACTTAAAAAATTACAGCTCCGTTAAATTACAAGTCTTGTAAAAAATGATAATATCGTTACCCAGTATAATGATAAACAATAACTACCATGTACCATAAATTACATATTTATTTATTCATATATTTTTAAGTATTTACTTATTATTGTTATAATAATAATAATAATAATAACATATAATCAACAAAGTTAATATAACCACGAAACTAAAATATTAAAAAACATCAGCCATCGGTCCATTGTAGATGGCAGAGTTCATTCATTTCAATATTACATACAATTTGACGTATGTACAGTTTGTGCTACAGTTTAATACCACGCGACGGAGATTTAAACCTAAAGATCAGTTTCTATTTAACTGCTCGATTTTAAAAAAACAATTTTACATCTCTCTTATCATCCATTTAAATTAAACGTCAAAATAAATTTCTTCTTCACTTTCTACCTGAAAAGTAAACAATTCATTTGATTAGTTAATCTATTAACAAACTATTGTTGAATTAATTAAAAAAATAAAAATAATAATAAAATTGAGAAGAAAAAAAATGTATAATACAATAATACAAATACTGGTTTAAAAAATCTAGAATCGAATATCGCAACATTGTGAATCGATATGAAGGGTGCCACCGAAGTAATATTTGTGCGTTAGTGTTAGTGTGTATGTTTAAACATTTCCCTCTCTACTTGGATAGTTGAGGAGTTTAACCAACCAGGGAGTTGTAAGTTAAGTGAGTTTGCTGAGAGAGAAGGAAGGAAGAAAGAGCAACAGGCCAACAACACGTCTCGCCTTGGAGAGGGCTCGGCTAGCTGGGCGACGTGTGTGCCTAGTGTAGAGTGCCGACTTTTCCTGCGATCAGTTGTTGGATCAGTGGCTACTCGGTGGTGCCTTGGTGATTGCGTGTTACGTTTAGTGGTACACTTAATAAAAATATATATATATAAATATACATATGTATATACAAATATATAAATATATATGAAGAAACCACCACTGAAAGAGTGTTTCTCTCTTTATTATTTTCATTACAGCTCCTCAGTTGCTTGCATTAACGCAACGCGTTCTTTGTTTAGTGCCGAGTGTTTGTTTAAATATCGCTCAGTGTCATTCTGCTGATGATGACAACGCTGATGCTTGTGATGATATTAATGACGATGATGATTCTGATAATCAACAGATTATAATAATTGTTTTAGTATTATCATTGACGAGGATGATGGTGAAGAAGATGACGATGAGAAGATGATAATGATAACTGTTGTTGCTGGAACTACAAGGAAGATACAGATGTATAAAGAGTATATGTAAAAAAGCTAAAAAACAAGTAAAAGTATTAAGGTAGAAGTAAACGGTGATAGCCGTGTCAGGTGTACTGAGCGATAAGACAATCTTAAGAGTAGCAGTAATTTAAAATAATAATATTTAATATTATTAATAATAATAATAAAATAATTATTTTTGAATATTGTTGTTGTTATTGTTATTTTTTAGATCGGCGGATACTAAACGAGGTGGTGTAATTGTTTTAGCTGTTATAATCTCAATGGATAATAATGAAAGAGTATCCGCCCTTGATTGGGTTGTGTTAACTATCTTGACGTAGGCGCGACAGATCAAGGAACGCCAAGAAACCGTCCCCGAGGAGTGGTCTCTAGAGAGTGCGGTGACACGTATCCGCGGGGGAAACCTATAGTGTACACACGGCACGGCACATACAACATACAACATACAACATACAACATACAACCAAGTATCGTTTCAAGAAAGAGAGATACAAGTATCCGATTCAAGTAGTTGTTGTAAGGAGAAGGTGTGCTGCAAGACCCGGAAACCCGAACCGAGATCGAGGGATAGAGTGGGAGCGCATAACGAAGAACCCGAGTCAAGAGGGGAATAGAAAGGGATAGACGCAAGACGTTTGAGTGTCCGAGGTAAGGAATAACCTCGTCTTCGTCGCCCAAGACCGTCATCGTCAGCGGGTAATATACTCCAGTACATAGCAAGTAGTACCTTCTTTCTACAAGACATTTTATTCTAAATTTTGTATAAAAAAATTTATATTTTTTTTTTTAAAGAGAAAAAGACAGGAGTAAATAAATATACACGTATAGGTATATTTATCAGTGATTTCTATAAGTAAAAAAAGAAGAAGTACAACGTCGTAGGTACGTTAGTTGTATTGCAGCATTGAGTATATACTTGAGAGAGTCACGAGTTGCGATAGTAGTACAAGACTGGTGGTGTGTGCTGGTGATTCGCTGCTGCCGATCGTCAACAAGCGTTGGCGAACTATCGAGTAGAGCTGAAAGAGAGTGTGTGTGTATGTGCGGGCTGTCTGTGTTTGTGTAAGTTGGTTACGGCGAAACAGGTAAAATATAATAATAAATAAAAGAAAGAACAGAACAGAACGAAGGAGAAAAATAAGAAAGAAAATAACGTGACTACGGCGAACGGTTGAAGGAGGGAGATTCTGATGAGGGTGTCAGCAGAAGCCCTGTAAGATAGTATAGAAGAGCGCACGAGAAAACCAAAGTGTATAGTTGTAGAGAAGAGAAAAATAAAATAATACGATAAAGACTCTGAAGAAGAAGAAGAAGAAGAAGAGGAAGAGGAACGAGAACGAGAACGAGAACGAGAACGAGAACGAGAACGAGAACGAGAAGAAGAGTTAGAAGATACTAAGGAGCACACGAGAAGCCGCGATTTTCGTTTGAAATCGCTGAGAAAGATCATCGCTGGCGGTGGCGGCATTGTCCTGCTTGTTTTGCTGTCTCGCGAACGCCAGAATAAAAAAAAAGTCTTTAAAAAAAAAAAGGGAAATAAAAGAAAAAAGAAGGTAAAGAAAGAGAGCGTGAAAGAGAGACAGCGGGATAAAGCTCGATTCTTTAAGGCGCGGGCTTAGCGGGACAGCAAGAGCGTGAGTGAGATGCTTGAGGATCTTTAAGAGGCAGCGGGGAGTCGTGGAGCGACTTGAGCCGAGTTGAACCGAGAAAGATATTGCCAAGTGCAAGTGAGAAAGATATAGCATACATACCACCGAGGAGGAGAGACCACGGCGACTGGAGAGTGCCGTAAGGTACGTATTTACGTACACACGCGTATAACCAGAGAGCTGAGAGCTGAGAGCTGAGAGCCGGGAGGAACACGCTTAGCTACCAACACGGCCTCAACGTAAATTACATACGCGCCGCTGGTACATACCCAGTGCCTCGCAAAGTAACTACTACTTTTTGCTACTCTACTAGCTAGCCAGTCAGCCAACTCAACACATACAATAATACTCATTGCTCTCCTGGAGTAAGAAAACTCCCGAGGATAAAGGAAACAGCTTGCTGAAGTAAACTTCCCGTTGGTTGGTTGGTGTTACTGCCGCTGTTTTGGCTTTCGTTTTCGATAAGACTCCACTCAAGGTGCAGCTTTAAATAGTATTCTTATTTCATTAACTTTATTTATAGATAAATAAAATAGTAGTAGTACAGATATAATAGACAATAATGGCGCTCAATCAGGACGTTGATCAGTTGTCAAAGTCAAACCTGGTGGTGAGGATTGACCAGAACTCTGAGTCGGATTTGCAGGCGCTTTTTGACAGTGTTCTAAAGCCAAACTCAACGAGACCTTTGCAGGTGCCTCTGCGTATGCGAAACCTGCCAAATTCGTTCTTCAACCCACCTCAGACCGGCAGCAAAAGCCCCTCGATATCCCACTCAAGAGAAAATTCTGCTGACTCTGCGTTTGGCACGATAGTTACGACAAATGTCGCCGGGAGCGGCCCCGGTGGTAATACTTTGGGCTCGGGTAGCGAGGCCCCAGGTGGAGCCGATTCCACGGGTTCAGGACCCACAGGTGCAGCACCCGGATTGACGGTGGCTCATCCACGAGCTCACAGCAGTCCGGCCTCGCTCCAGCAAACCTACGCTTCTGCACAGCAGGCCACTCAACATACGCCTCAGCCCCACGCACCCAGGCATCATCATCATCAGAAACAGCGCAGTTATGACGTCATCAGCACTGTTGACGACATGGGGCCGTTGCCTCACGGATGGGAGCAAGCACGCACGCCTGAGGGACAAATTTACTTCCTCAAGTAAGTTGGTCGGTCTTTACGTATGTTAGTTTTTTTTATTATATTATTTTATATGCTATATGTTTATTATTATTATTATCATCATCATCTTCATCATTGTTTTTATTTATTTATTTATTAATTAATTAATTCCAGCAATAACAATGATTTCTTTAAAGCTAAAAAATATTGACATGATTATGAAGAAAAGAAGTTGAAAAAAAATATAAATATTTTTTCATTGATGTATTATATTGGATGGTGTGGAGCATCAGGTGCGACGCAGCATCATTCAAAGACACCATCTTATACTCGAGAGTCTAAGTCGTGTAGGCACCACCAACCGGACTGGTTGATCCCTACCACTTGTTCAAATACTACTCTCCTCTTGGCTGTCTCTTACATTACATTAGCTCACACGAGTAGTATAGAGGAATATAACAGGTATACATATCACGTTCACACACATGGATGTGTATACATATACATATACATATACATATACAACAGGATTTATACTCGAAGACGAGACACAAGGGGAATTCTCCTGAATATCCTCCTTGGCTCAACAGAGTCCCCCACGACTACTCGTCAGTGCTTCTCCCCGGCGATTCACCTGCGGCGCCACGCCGGTATTCCCACGTGTCACCTGTCGTGGGAAACTCCGTTGAGCTGGTTCCGAAGACTACCACGACGACGACATCGTCCAACCACCTTCGCTTTAATCCACCCACTTGATTCCTCTCTGTTTCTTCTTTTATTATTTTTTATTACTTACTTATACCTTATACTGTATACCTTTATAGATATTACTTCTTTTATTTTTTTTTTTTTATCTTTATACGTTATACGACCCCCATCGACCGAGATTCTATACACATACACTCTGTATGGCAACTTGACACCCACGTGAATTTCCGGTGTACTAAATAAGTGTTTACACTTTTAACACACTTGATTTCTTTCGACAAATCACTTATTAAATTACACTATCATATTCATTATACTCGATACATATTTAATTATATCTACGTTTTTTTTTTTTAATTTATTAATTGCTATTTACTATAAACTCTAAATATAATAAATAAATATATATTATATTACAGACTATACAACGAAACGCGTATGAATGAAATTGAAAGTTTACAAAAGATATATAATTGATCAGTAGTTGAAAGCTTTGAGAAATAAAAAAAAATTTTTTATCCATAAAAACAGATAATTGTTTGTTTCGGAGAATTTCCTATTTAAGAGGTCGGTCTTCTGCATTGATCTTCGAATATATTATAGAAACGAAATATAAAAAAATAATAATAACCAAAGTAAAAAAGCGCCTAAAACGTAGTATAGGGATTACCAGGTTGTTTTTTTCTTCTGTCGGGTTTATAACTCCACTCGGTGGTTCTTTCGGTCTCTCGGGTGCTTCTTTGAATTCACCCGGCCCTGTGTTCACCTGTACTGTGCATCAAGGTTTCTATACCTGGGACGGTTAACCGTGAGAGCTAAAGAACGGCTGAAGGATTTTTATTTTGTTCCCTCAAGAAGAACTAAACTCTCATTTTCCCTCTTCATCTCTCCCGCGGTGTATCCTCAATTCTCAGTTCTTAGCTCCTCACTTTACTGCTTCTACATTATTCCTCTCTACTCTCTACTGTTGTAGCTTATAACTTGTAGTTTTATGCCTTGGTACTTTACTTATGCTTCTCATCATCAACTAAAACGCTCTCTCCCACGATTTTTCTTCAAGAAACCATCTATGTTCTTTTTCATAGTGGTGTTGGTAGCTCTTCCACGAAAATTTTAGCCGTTGCGCTCGACTTCTGAATCATCATATATATTTTCAAATGTTAAATCTTACCGCTACTGCTACTTACTCGCAAATCGTAATATTATCGCTTACACTTGTAAATAAATATTTATATTATATATTTATTTGTTTTTTTATCCGACGTCCTGTCGGTAAAATAACAAATATATTTATTATATATATATATATATATCTATATTAATCATAAATAATAATAATAATGATATCCTTGATTTAAATTCATTGAATGATGAATGAATTTGATACATACTACGCTGTGGAATTTGAAAACATCTCAAAGCTAAACAAATGATGAGTCTGTTTCATTGATCGCAAACCACAAGGTCAAGACAAGAATATTTTTACTTCACATCCGTGTGCTCTAAAAAATAAGAAATTTATTATTAATTATTGCACGTAATTTCCCGATGATTTATTTTATTTATCATAAGACTCACTTCTCTTTTCTATTTAAAAAAATAAATAACAATTATTATTTTAATAATCTACATAAAATATTTGATATAAAAAAAAAAATATTTACGTCAAGTAATTTTCTCAAAAAAAAAAAAAAAAACATGCAGAGCATTTTCGAATTAATCACTCATCGTTAAATTTTAATTGGCACGTTATTGAAATTTATGTCTGTCGCTTTTTAAATTTTAATAAATAGTAATACTAAATATTAAATTTAGTATTATTATTACTACTCCATTTTATGTATTTATTTATTTTAATTCTTTGTCATCATTCTCTCGGTCTCTTGCATTTATTCGGTAAGCCTTTTATACAGTTACAGTACCGGAAGTGTATCAACACGAATGGTATAGGAAGGAAGTAGCGTGCCTGTCGGGTTCACCGAGCCGATGCATTACTCCCGTGGTTCGTCACCGTAAAAATATATTTTATACGTAAATTAAATAAATATTTTTTTTTTATCGCGAATTTGCACAAAACTATTAATATTAAAATTTTTTTAATTTATAATTTACAATTTATAATTAAATAAATATTTTATGTAAACTTTTAACTCAAAGGACGGTGACTATTAAATTGTAAATATAAATATAAATAAAATTCACAGTAAATTTTAGTACAAGAGATAATAAATGAATAGATGTTTTAAATCTATAAAGTAAGAGATAAACTATACAGCTATTAGTAAAGGTATTCACGTATGTATTAAGTAATGAATATTCATTAGTTAACTTGAATATATTCTGGTTGTTCAGTTATTTGCCGTATAACTGTTAAATTGCGGTTTTAGTAACACTTAAAAAATTTAACGCACTGCTTAAGTATTATCGATAGATTTATTTGAAAAAAAAAATTACACATATGTACTTATTTATTGTATTTTTTATTTTGTATTATTATTTATTTTTTATTTATATTATTCTAGAATGTGTCAGGGTCTCGGTGTATTGTTCTTCTATCACTAAGATTATCTCCGTTATCCTACTGCAATAATTACGATAGTGCACCACGGAAATGTCATTAGCGTCTAATACAAGATTGAATCCCTGATTTATAATTTTGAAGGTCGTTAATTACTGTAATTGTTGTGAAAGTCTCAAGATAAAACGACTGAAAAAACATATTCATGATATCCGGAGTGCGTCCAGTTGATGACAAACATGTTTTGAAAAACCAATAATGTTTATGTCTTCGAAGAATCATTAAAAAATAATAACTTATCATCAACTTTTGACAATGGTCATTTAGAATTGTTTTTTTCTAAAATTTAAGATTCATTTATATAATTGATAATGGCTGATAGTAATTTTTTAAATGAAGTAGTCATTTATATATAAATGAACGTCTATGTAAATAAATGATATATTTCATGTTTGGATGTGTAAGTTGTCATAACCACCTGTTGAAGGAATATCGTTATCTCACCTTGCCGATAACTTCCATGTTAATTATATGTGAAAATATATAAAAGATAAGACTGTATATATGTTTATACATCTTACAATATTTATTTATATATGAATATTCTTTTGTAGTATGGTTTCCAAGGTTTACCATAAAAGAATTATTACCAAGATGAATGAAAAATTATATATTATTATATCATATAAAAATAGTGTTTGGAGTAGAAATACCTGAATAATAATCAAAAAGTTTCAGTTCACCATTTTTGTAAATATTTAATGGAAAATAATTATTTATTTTATTTTTATGGAATTTTGATAAATATTAAAGTTTTATTTAAAATATTATCATGTTATCTTATAGATAATTTTGCTGTAATAGTTGTTCAGTTAGAATTGAAGAGTAGTTTTATAAATGTTCAGAAGAAACTTTTTTAAAAAATCAAATTTTACGATTTTTTTTTTTAGATCTTGAAGATTTTATAACTGGTTTAGATGCATCAGAAAAATTTACAACCACCTAAAACTTTCTAAAATAAACCAGTAACTCCAAAGTCATTTGAAAAGTTTAGAAAAATTATAAACTTCCTTTAAACCATTCAGGTATATTTCAAAATAAATTCGAATTTTTTTAAAACTTCAAACACTTTTTAAAAGTTAGAAAATTTTAAAAAATAATCTTGGTACTAAAAACACTTGTAAATTGAATTATAATATTTATTTAATTTATTTATGAATAATTTTTAATTCTAACGAGTTATATTTATATAATTAATTCGCATTTAATTAAAAACATTAATTGATTTGATTTTTTTTGAGTGCAGAAGAAAATTTTCACAGCTAAAAGTTTAAAAAAAAATGGTTTTTAGTGTAAAAAAAGTGTAATAGAATGTAGACATAAAAAAGGAGGAAGAGATAAAAAAAATGACGAAGGAGGTGAAGGCATATCGGCCGGAAGAGAGAGGCTAAAGTCTGTGCTCGAAGATGGTGATAGACCCAGCCACCACGTTCTCGACGCCTCAAGATCCGAAGTCAGCGGGTGCCCCGTGTGTCTATTTACGAGTTGTCCGGCGCCGCGATGTCCGGAGTAAAAATACATCAGTAGTTCTCTCTTTCTCATTCGTGTATAACTACAACGTGTTACCCAGTGTGCTCTATGTTACAGGCCAAGACATCGGGATCCAAATCAGAGCAACAGAGAAACAAATATAACTACTATACTTATACTCTTTATATTTATTCTCTCTCGCTCGATCTGCTAGATCATCAACGGCGGCGTAAGAGTTTCTTCTTCGTCTTCGTCTGCAATATAAAGCAATGGCGGCTGCTGCTGGTGCTTCTGTATTTACTTGACTTGGCTACTTGGATCTGCCGTAGCTTGGCCGACTGCCAAACCTACAAGACGACGGGCATAAGTCCGCGTGTACCCGGACGCCGTTTGCATCTCGACCAAGAAAACTACAACACCATCGCGGCTCATGACTGAGTGGAAACCCGTTGCTGCTGTCGACACCACTCTCGACCTTTCTGTAATTCTCCCCATCAATTTACTTACTTTTTTTACTCACAATCAGCTAATTATAATTCTAACTCATTTTTAATTTTCCGTGTTAATTAAATCTATTTAAAAAATTTATTAAAAACTCTTTTTATTACTATTTGCTCTTTTTTTCCAGATTTTTGTTCGACTTATCAGCGCCCAGGTGTCTAAATTAATGACACACTGAATTAACATAAAGAAATCATTTAAATAATATTAATATCACCACCGCTGCTGCTGCTGATAATGATGAAAATGATGGTGGTGATGATGAAGATGATGATTATTATTTGAAATTGAACTTGTGCGTGTATTAAGCAAGTTAAAGCTAGAGTTAGAGAGCCAGCATAGTATCGTGTGAGACACTTGAAAAATCGTGACGTGACATCACCCGTCGGCGCCGCATTTCTGACACAAGGCCTGGCTCGTAAGCGACGTCATATCACGAGGAGTCGAGAGCACAGCTTGAAAAACAATTGCTCATGCCTAATGCCGTTGTGCTAATAGTCTGGCCTGAGTAACGGCGCCAAAACTAATATCGTTATACTAGAGATTATCATCATCTGCCTCTAGTGTAATGATAATGTTGTTATAATGAGCTTTCTAAATGCCTAACTCACAGTTCATAGCAAATATTCATAGTCTAAGCAAAACCACACATATAGTACAAAATAACATAGCATAACATAATATAATGTATTATGTGATAATGATAAGATGGTAATCCCGGAAAATATACTACCAGTATGATATCATTGTCATACTCTGACGTATACATTATCTTGTTCATTAACCATCAAAGAGAAAGAGTTACGGCTATTTGACGTCCTCACAGTTTAGACCTATTAAATTATTCAATCCAGACAATCCTACTTATGTTGCTTGTGCCCCAGTACTTGTACATACAAGTTATACTTTTACATACACATTTTATACTAATATAATGTAGCTAAATACTCTTTATATCATTAATTATCCAGTCAATGTATTTTTTAACAAGTATATATATATATACATATATATGGATATATAAGAGTGTGTAGATATAATGACAAGTATCAGTGTTATTTGTACGCGGAAAATAAAAGTCAGAGTTTCTAAAATAGAAATTAAGAAAGATATAAACGGTTATCCTCTGGCCGGTCTAATAATATCTTGGGGACTCATATGATGGTATGGCGCACACGAAACAGATCATCATCATCATCATCATCATCATCAACAGATCTACGTCTACATAGCCACCTGTTTTTCGCGATGAATAACTGTATTGAGATCATTGTCATTATACAGAGATCATCATCAGTTTTATTTATAAAAATAGAGCACGTGTGGAGGCTTGTTATCGGTTTTGATGATGCTGGTCGGAGTTTAGTATCCACACCCTTACCTTCAGCATTAGTTGGTTGATTCTTTTACTTGAGACATTGAATACATCGACCAAACAACCTACATATATATATAATTATGTGTGTATAAATAAATATATATGTATATTGGTACAGATTAATGTATACATAGATATAGACGTAACAGCAAAGAGAGTTGATTTTACCCGCGCCGGATGGGTTGGCGTCTTCTTCCTCACACATCTCCCACCTTACTTTAGCATCATCCGCCGTTTTGAATGGAACTATTTCCGGCGTTGCTATACTATATCAGGCAAATGTGCGTTTGTACATACGAATACGCATACGCACATATGTATCATGTATATATTTATACATGATCCACGTTTCATACTACTGTTTGTTTAATTGCAATACAAGGACAAAGAATTTATTGTAATTCTATTATAAAATATTTTAAATTACGTCTGTCTTTCAGATATTATTTTTAAGTACCAATAATATAATTTTACTTTGAATATATTTTCAATATATATTTTTGTTTTAGCTACAAAATTGTACTTAAATAAACCATTTTATAGGTACTATCAATTTTAACGACCCATAAAAAAATGCTTCAACAATTTTGTTTAGTAATAGTTTCTTCTATTTTTTAAATTCAATTAAATTTACAGATATTTATTTAAATGTTGTGAGTATTAATATTAATATTCACATTAATAATGGTGATGATGATGATGATAATAATAAATGTATGCATATTTATAGCTGTTTATTATTTAAAATTTTAGTAATTGCTAAAAATAAATTGTTTTGACCATATTTTTTATTACTTATTTTACAGTCACTTGACCCGAACGACAACATGGGAAGATCCACGTAAAACAGCAGCTGCTGTAAGTGTTGCGGCTGTTGCTGCGGCTGTGGAAAGTGGAAAAGCATCTTCAGCAGCGGCTAATTCTCTCGGACCTCTACCAGAAGGTTGGGAGCAAGCACGTACTCCTGAAGGAGAGATTTACTTTATTAATCATCAAAGTCGTACTACTTCATGGTTTGATCCTAGAATTCGTAAGTATTTTTTTTTTTTTTTTTTTTTTTTTTTTTTTATTAAACAGTATTTAGCATTGAAGATTATACTGACTGATGTAAACTTGACTTTTATAGCATCACATTTACAACGAGCTCCGACTACGAATGCAATGCTACCACAAAACTGGCTCCAGCAGCCTGGAGCTACTGGAATCCAGAATAATCAAAATATTCAGGTATGCCAACAAAAATTACGTCTTCAGTCACTGCAAATGGAACGCGAACGTCTGAAACAAAGACAGGCTGAAATTATGCGTCAGGTAATATATTAACTATATTTATTCATTAATCTAACGTTAATTTATATTATTAGAAAATTAATTATTTTTTAGTTAAAAATATTTTGACATTTAATTTATTTTTCAATAAATTTTTTAAAATAAAAATATTCAATAAGTTAAATTCAAAGAATAACTAAAATTAAATTAGCTTTTAAATTTTTTTTTTCATCATCAAAGATTTTGTTTTTAAACTTGTGATGAGAAAAAAAATTAAATTGGCGCCTAACGAACCAGACGAGGGTATAGCTTGTTATTAATAATGTTATTATTGGTTGATATTTATAGCAAGAACTTAATTTGCTGAGACAAAGTACTCCTGACGCAGCAATGGATCCATTTTTGTCGGGTATAAATGAGCAGCATGCAAGACAGGAAAGCGCTGATTCCGGTCTAGGTCTTGGTTCAGCATACTCTTTACCACATACACCTGAAGATTTTCTTTCTAATATCGATGACAACATGGACGCTACAAGTGGTAAGTATTTAATGATAAATAATTCATGTATAATATTTAATTATTAATAAATAGAATTTATAGTGTAGAATAGAGTAATATATTTTATTAACAAAAAAAAAAAAAATATGTTATTTACAGAAGGTGGAGCACCAATGGAAACACCCGATTTGTCGACTTTAAGTGATAACATCGACTCAACGGATGATCTAGTACCTTCGCTTCAGGTATATCTTATTGACATTATCTCAATTGATTTATTAAATGTATTTAATCATTATCATAAGCATGATAAAAAATATATATTTCATTATAGAGATTACGAGAGTTATTCTTATTGATACATGTTTATTTAAATTATAAATTATTTTTATTAATTATCCAGCGCAGAGATTAGTAATAAATTATTCTAAATGTGTCTAATGAGTCATTAAATAAATCTTTAATAATAAGTGTTTGTAAGACACTTATCATTAAAGAATTCAATTGTTTTTTTTTTTTTTTTTTTGAATTGAAATGTCATGTTTTTAAATATTTCAAATATTTTGTCGCAAACTTTGGACCTGAGTATTTAGTGCTATTTTATATCAATTAATTTTTATTAATTAAAGTTAAGTGTGAAGTTATATTTTGAAGTATATAATAATAATTTTAATCTTTATTTTTTAGCTTGGCGAAGAATTTACGAGTGATATCCTGGACGACGTGCAGTCACTGATAAATCCGAGCAGTACGAAACCCGAGAATGTTCTCACGTGGCTGTAGTACGTCGCTTAAGTATAACATTAATATTAATAATAACAATCACACAAGGATAATATTAAATAAAACAAAATAATAATATTAATGTACAATGAAGACGGTCTACAATAATTCGATCACACGACGACAATGCACGATCGAGTCAAGTGTTGCGATATTCAATGCTTTCGTATTAAACAAATATTAAGAAATGCGATCGGTATAAAATACTCTACCAATAATTATAAATAAAAAAAAAAAAAGTATCTATTTTATCACCGTACTGTCGTTGTAAAAAAAAACCGTGCCTTAATTATAAACATTCGTACAAATACGCCTTATTAAATATTAAAACTTTTTTCATTTAAAAAATTGTATATTTAAAGAAAAAAAAACTTACGTATTCTTGTTAATTATATATTTTTAAGAACGCTATCAATTTTACAAGTGACATGTATATATGTATATATTATATAGACATATATACATAAAACGCGTTCGTTCGAATTTTTCGCGTAGATTACAATCATGGTGAAGAGATTACTAATTATAAGGAGGTGAGAGAGAGAGAGTGGGAAAAGGAGACTGTTTTTATTTCTTTTTTTGACAATAATTATTACTTATTAATATTTATATAATAAATATGATCGAATTGATAAGCTACTGAATGAAGAAGTATGAAAAAAAAAAAAAGATACTGATAATAGAGTCGGAGAAAAAAGTGGTCATAACAATCAATATTATGTCATTATTTAATGATGCGTATTAATAAGTATTTCTCTATCATGTATTCTTTTTTTTTTCTGGTATGACGTATCAGATTCACCTGGTTTGAGATTAATTAAACTACAAGTCGTGGTAGACTGATTAAGTGCAATTAATTAACTAAAGGTATAATATGCGTAAACATATATGTAGCGCCTATATGTCAATATAAATCCGACGTAGTTTAATTGAAAGAATAAAAATAAATAAAAAAACCGGTGATCTAAGCTTACGTGTTGAAAAAAATACTGAAGTTTTAGATAAGTTAATTAAACTCAAATAATGTAAAATATATATAAAGAATTGTATTATTCGATAGATAAAGATATATATATTTGCATCAATTTGGATATGCAAAGTTAAATGCAGCAGTAAATAACAATGGCTCGCAAAGAGAAGTGCCTCAGAGTCCCTGCAGTCAATGAACTCAGCGATATGAGTCGTCATTTTTGAAAGTAATAACCGTCCATACGAAACATTTATTGTGAAACACGTTTATTATTATTATTTTATACATATATTTATAAAAATAGTAAACGTGTTTGTATAATATAAATTTAAAAAATAAAAGAGAAAATTTTTTTTAGATATTCATTAATTTAAGTAATTATTACTATTATTATTATTATATAATTGATTAATTAATTTATAGCAATTAAGTTGAAAGATAATTATCAATTGAATCAGAGTAAATAATTAAAAAAAAATATATTTACATATATATATTTTTTTTTATATACAAAGTCTATATCTGTTAATGAATGAAAAAGTTATTGCATTGTGTCCCGTTAGATAATTAAAATTGTTTTTTTCGATACATTATTGATAAATTAATATTTACTATTTTTTAGATTAATTTTTGTGTATGCATTAAGAGCATGAGGTATTTGTAGAATATTGAAAATAATTGTTAAGTTAACAACAACAAATCGATTTAAATATTAAGTTTCTTTTATTAATTACTAACTTTGTTTAAATGTTAGCCGACGATTTACATTATTGTAACGTATGAATAAGTATATTATATTTACTGTTTATTTTGTTGTACTGTAAGATTAATAACAATGGTTCTAAGTATTGATGTTGACAATAAAATTCGATCGATTAATGTGAGCAATTAAATATTTAAATATTAATTAATGTTAATGTGTTAACAAATTAGTGTATAGTTTAAATATTTAAAAAACAGGCAGCTCAGATGATTAAATAATGAACGATTTTGTTATATATGTATATATATATAATACATATGAATATATATATATATTTTTTTTGAAATTAAATGTTTTGTAATTATATTTGTTTAATACAAAATATAATAATAGTTGAAGAGATTATTGAATGTTGAAAAGTTGAATCGTTCATTATTTTCGTCGAAAATTATTAAGTTAAAATAATTGATTGATTTATATTAAGTTTATATATCTGGTAATTGATAATTTGTAAATGTATATCTGTTGCAATAAGCTCTCGTGACTTTTTTCTGGGAATGTATTTTATAAAAAAAAGTTCGCTGAGACGCTGACTATTTCTATGGTCTTGAAAGTACACATGTAAATTTCATGTAATATAATAATAATTATAATTAATTAATTAATTATTACTTTAATGAAATTTACTGTGTAATTATTGAGAATGTGCCTTATATACAGTAGATAAATAATTGTGTATTTTGTATTGATGTATTTACTCACGAGATTATAAAGAAAAAAAATATACATATTAAATAATATTAAACAAATATAGTTGGAAATAAACTTACCAGATAAATCCAACTGAATATAATAATCCTAGAAATTACAAGACAATGACAATAAAAAAGAATAGTTTAAATAAATTGTAATTTCTAGGACTGTTATCTCATATATGTATTGCTTTAAATATATATAAATTAATTACATGTTTAGTTTAATACACTATTACATTGTCTTGCTTTTAGTGTAAATTATGAGTTCATTTAATTATATTTTACGATTCAACGTAAATTATTACATGAAAAGTTATTAAAATTGTTTAATACGAGTTTTTTTTTTATAAATCTGATACGTAAAGAGAAGAAATAATTGAGATAATTCATTTTTGATACTGTACACGAAATAAACTTTATATATGTCGATAAAGAGATTAATAATTAATAAACACGTTGATTATATTAATTAATAAATTAAGTAATTAGATGTTTGATATACCAGTATTTGAATATGCTCATTGGCGAATAATTGTCACTTACATTTTTATATCGATAACAAAGTGCCTTAGCAATAATAATAATAATAATAATAATAATAACAAATATACATATTGTTTACTTACAAAAATTTTGTCATGTTTCATTTCATCAATCCTAATCTTCATTTTTTTATAAGTTTTTTTTTCTTTTTATTTTATGAAAATTAATTTAGCAGAAATTTAATAATTTTAACAAAAAAATAAAAAGGAAAAAAAATTGACATCTAGAAATTTAAAAAAATAAAAAATGTAATTTTTTCAAACAAATTTGTTTGTTAAAAAAAATTAAAAAAAAAGAGACTGCTAATTTTAACATCATTTTATTTTTGTAAGCTCATTCTCTTATTGTGATTTATTAGTATTTATAAATCTTGTAATTATAATAAATATTAATCACAATGAAACAAGTGGTCAGATTTACGCAATTGAAGAGTACTGATAGGACAACTCTTAGTTACGATTTTTCGGTGTGTCGTAAGAGCATAACAGTTTATCGGCGCGTCTCGGCTTAAAATAATTCTTAGAGGCGCCAGTGTTAATTATATTTTTCCTTTTACAGTTTTTAATCTTAAAAATCTTCGCGAATAGTTTTTCTGAAGCTAGTTGGCTTAAAAATGATACTTAAGGCTTAAAAGCAATTTCGATATTTTTATCTCTGCATTTATCGAAGAAAATCCTGTTATCTCTGTTGCAATTGGAACAAAAATGCTATTACAGATCCATTTATTTTTCTTAAGTAAATAACATTTTAATAATAATCCCTGATTAAAAAAGATAACAATATAATTTTATTGGTAGAAGAGAATTTTCTATGTGATTTTATTTTTTTTTTTTCGGAGTAATTCATAAGCCAGTAATTGCTGGGGCAGCATTTTGAGTAAAAAGATTTCTAATATGTGTTAGCATGAAGATCATGAAAATGCTACAGGGTAACACACGGACACTACTAGATATTACCTGTATTACCTGCAATTAACATTAGATGGTAACTCACATTTATGTCGGTGTGTATTAATTGATGTTCAATAATAGCTTTGCGCTAACTTCGCGTTAATTTTTGCATTTTCAACAGTTTCACGGAACTTGATTTTAACTTATGCATCAAGTTAGCGTAAAACTACGGCCGAAATTGACCAAAACGTCCGCATCAAAGTTTGCAGAAGTTGACGTTAACTAGTTAAAAGGACAACCATTGCCTTACTTTTAGCGTAAACTTTACGTCAAATTCCGGCCGCAAGTTTACGAGAACTTCATTTCATTTGTGCTAATTGGGATACCAATCAAGCAATCTGTAATTTTTGGTTTGTTTCAAAATTTGAAACTGTAAAAAAAAAAATAGAAATTGGAAAAACACAATTTTGAAAAAGTTTAATCATTTGTAGAAAATATTAAAGTTTAATAATATAAAAAAAAAAGAGATAACAATGATAATAATGAAAAATAGTAATCATTGAGAAATTTTTTATTTTTTTTTTTAAATCTAAAATATAACGATAAAGATATGTTTGAACAACTTTTTTTCCAAAAAGGACAATATTCGATTTTTTTTTAATCACCCTAGTACATTTTCACATATATAGAAAATTCTCCACACATGAACATGAAAAAGAAAACTAAAAAATAATTTTTTTTTTTCAGTTTTATTTTTTATGTTCATATGAAGAATTTTTTATATATGTGAAAATGTATACAAGCGGGGAAGAATCAAACTGGCTTCGCTTTCTCGTTTCGGTTGAAGAAACCCCGCGACAGTATTTCGCCCTGTCGCAAAAGTCCGTTTTTTTATATACACATGTGTGTGGAATGAAAGAAGAAAAGCGGGATCTGTCTTTGCTTCTGAACTACTACCCTCTTTTATCGCTTTCTCTTCTCGATTTCTCCCTTATTTTATTTTTTTTAGCTGTTTTCCTCTTTTTTTATGTAGTTATTTATCTCTTTTTTTACCAATATTGGAGTAGATGTACTCTACTTTGTTCATGCCCATTGTATCGCGTCTGCTTGACCTGACAACAATTTAATCTCACCGCGAA